GCGGCGCTTGCACCAGCATCTGTTTTTGTTTTAATTACGACCTATTCATTAAAAAATTTTGAGCTTTTGTTGCTGCTGATTAAGTACGAAGTACTACAAAATTTCCACTAAGGTTAGTTATTCTTAGACATCGTATATGGCTGTTAAATGGAAATGTTTTAAAATTAAAAGGTAAGGATGCTGGAGTTTATGATATTAATTAAAGAGAGTTTGATCAGTCTCTAATAATGAAGAAACTCACGTCGAAAAAACAATTATATAAAAATATGAAGACTTTTAACAATTCTTTACGTTAGCGTTTTTCCATAAAGGCAGAAGCGAGCTAATTATTATTTCCTACTTTAAGCGTGCCAAGCTTACAAAAACTATTGCTATAAAAAAGTTACCATTTAAAAGGAAGCGAAGGCTACTAACTTTTAGTTTCGCTTTTGAGTTTAGCAAAGCCGTACAACATATGCATTAAAAGACGTATAATGGACAGTAGGTAACGTTGCCTTTATAAAGATCAAAACGTTTGTAAACCTAATGGGGTGAGCTTATATTCAAGCACAGAACAATAGAGAGCAGAGTGAAACTGCCGTTAAAAACCCCTGACGGTAGAGAGAAAACATTTATTTTTAAAAAAGGCGCCCGCTATCTCCTGGCGCGCGATCGGGTCAAGAACACTGACTTTACTAGCCGTCAACTGGGTGAACTTAAAATTTAGGTTTAAGCTTGCATTAATGTAATCTTCTATATATCTATTTACCCCTAGCCCTAAACTTAAAAAACAACTTGAATTTATATGGTAGAAATCGCTTATCACGAACTCTAAAGGGCCCGCTATTTATATTCGTTATAACCGGAGTTGGTAATTCTCGAGATCGATAAAAAGCGGAAAAAGTTTGCAAAAAATAGGAAGAGAGTAAAATGCTCTTTTTTCTTGATAAGCAAATTTTTATTGATTGTCCGGTCGAAAAATTCGTTCAAAGTAGGTTTTGAGAAATATGTGATTACCGACTTCTGTTTCAAAGCATTTTTGACAAACATTTTGTTACGTTATTTTTCTAAATTAAGCGCTTTCCTTCATAATCAATTCACTCGCATCTACTGAATCTAATTAACGAATAACTCCCCTTTCTTCCAACGCTCCTTTTGCTGTGATCTGTTCGACCTCTCCTTGATCCTCATCCTGGACGTCGACAGGCTCCTTAACGCTTAAGTTCTTGACCGACACCACAATGAAGCATCACAGAAAATTTCGTGAGATAACATCCATAAGAATTTAATCTTCAATAAATGTTTTCTTCCAAAGGAACGTTCTGAGTTGTAAAGGTAAATTGTCCTCTTCTTCAAAAACCACAGGGCCGACTGCTAATTTAGCGTGTGGAAAGCAATTCTGTAATGCAACCGGTGTTGCACTTAGCCAAACTTTTCTAGCGTGACAACTTCTCCCCGCCAAATTTTTACTCTTGAAATAACCGAAGAATGTCTTATTTTCTGTAGTGACATTGGCTGAAGTTTCGACGTAGAATTCTTAGGCAAGAAAACTTAATGTTTTTTTTAAATGCATTACTTTGGTGTGAGCCGAACAATTATCCCTAAAAGTAAAATCTTACGATCAATTAATTTTCTGTCCCATCGCCTTAGTTTTGTCTCAAATAACGTATAAGTAACCCATGAATTTTCAATAATGGCATAATTAACAGGGAGGCGTAGGAAGTGTTTACTACAGTGGAGCTTCCATTGCCAATCACAAGTAAATTTCCCTTTTCTGACTCGGGCATGTTAGCACAAACGAATATGATTAACCTGTGTGCCGACAATTTTATTCCCTCACATTTTTCATTTATAAATTTTAAAGTCTCGCCAGGAGTTTATTGATACAACAATACTGATTCTTCCCATAATAAATATTTTTCGGTTGATAACTCTCATTAATTTGGCAGTTTACTTTTTAACGATTCATCAACTTCTCGCTGATTCACACTTGCTTCCTTAATAACTTTACCCAATAAAACTTTGTGCCTTTTTTTAATCAATCTAACCATCCTCTCGAACAAACCCAGTCTTCCTCTGGGTTAAACAAATTAGAAAATTCTTCGGCCTTAATTTGTAGCAAGTTCCCTCGCACCGTTTTAATGTGAACCATTGTGATAAAGTCTGGTCTACTTCATTCTGCTTCAATTTATTAATCTCTTCGCTTTTGGAATGTTTTCCCCATAATCTTAATATTTTACCTTGCTGCTTTAAAAGAAGACAATGTAATTAAACTTTTTACACACATCTACTCGGCTCCCACCCGGGTCTGGCTCGTTCAAAATTTTGAGCTTTTCGCCTAAATAATAATGTTTTCGTCTTGACATGTTTCTAATGACCCTATAGAAATATTCCAATTTGCAGGGGAAAAGCTGCAAAAATTGAAAGAAAATAGCATGGAAAATCTTGTTTGAAACCCTGTCATTAATTCCAATCGGTTCGATTTAACCGAGATTTTTTACAAAAGGGCAATATAGTATTTGACCGGGCCCGAAAGGTTTGGTTCGCTTTAACCGAGGGTTGGTTTCAAGCAATTTTATTACAAGTCAACTGTGTATATCTTTCCACTGGCATAGCATCCCCTGCTTAATAAGAATTTAAACCATTAACTTGAATTCCCTTGTTGAAGGAGGGGGGTCACGAGCGTCCACCAGTAATACTTTTAGACCAAATATATCATGATTATTTTAGTTATATTGTTAGGTATAGATGAATAACAAGCTACTAGGGTCCTGGCTTAGAAGGATGGCTCATAATACGAGCGATTAAAACTTTCAAGGGTCGATACTGCTCCTCAAGTTATTAAAGATTTAATTATTGAGTCTTACTAATTCGTTGGGATGCACAGCCTAGGGGTGGGGAAAATAAGCCCAGGGTAGTAAGGCTGATTTTGAAAACTATTTTATTTTTTATTTTTCTGTACAATCTCCATCTATTTGATACGCCTTTCGCATCGACCGTACAATTGTTTTATCCCGCTAAAAAGTTTTTAAACAAAATTACTTTTGTTATGCGCGCTAAACAACGCTAATATTTGATGGTTATTCAGTCATTGGTACGTTAAGTAAAGTGACGCCAGTGCATAACCGCGTGTTGGAGTGGAAACTTTGTCTACAAATGCTCACCTACAGATGACCTCATTTTGTTTTCATCAGGAAATCTCCTACCTCGTAACGCATTTTGAATCTTTAAAGTAGTAAAAAATTCGCTGGGAGCCAGGTATTGGCTGTAGGGGTATATGGTTAATTTTTCCACGCCCATATTTCGTATGGCAAGCTTTACAACTTACACTGTGAACCGGTCCGCGTTGTTTCGTAATAGGCAAAATTTTCTGCTAAGTTTGCCCCTGCGATTCTCAATAATGGCTAGTTGCAACTATATGAGTAAGCCAGCGTGATATTGCCCGTTCGTCGTTCATCCTTTGGGGAAAATATCGTTGCCATAGTTTAATAGCCACTCTTTAAACCTTGAAGTTGCGAGGTGGCATTTCTACCTTTTTTTTCGTTGCATGTACTTTTGTTTGGATATGGATCGTACTGTAATCCATGTATTTTAACAGGTGACAATGCGATTACAAATTGCATCCAAATCATTCTCACCTAAACTAGAAATATTGCGCGAACTTCTACTCTTCGTTCCCGATTTAGCGGAGTTAATATTTTGGGTTCCCAACGCGCGCTCATCTTGCTCATAAGTAAATTACTAAAAGGATTTGTTTAAAGCTAACCTTGCTGCTCTTTAGTTCTTCTACTATCTGGCGAATTCAAATTCAGCGGTTTCAAGGATTAATTTTCTCAAATTTTAATATTTTCTTCCGGAAGGACCGAGCAAAACGGGCCTGGATGCTCATCGTTTTCAAATTGACTCTGGTCCTTCTATAAACGGCCGAGTCCACCTTTTGACCGTGGAATATATGATGGAGCACATTGTGGATAAGTGGCTAATAATTTTCTTTTGGATTCTTGGGCACATTTACCTTTTTTACAGTGTACTTTGTCACAGTACGACATACAAACTTCGAAAATGACAAGGTTTCGCTAGACATGTTTGTTTGACGTTTATTCAGTAACTGTTACATCAATTATAATCAAATTTGACCCATGGGTTATTATCTTATGTGTATACACATAAGTGCAGTCCAAGTTTTTTTAGAAAGCCCCCTTCAAAGGAGGCTCACTTTTCGCCGGAGAGCCCTGGTACAATTTTGACCTAAAAAATTACTAGTACTTGAGTAGCAGCCGAACTATCGGTTGCCTTCTGCTAGGGGCATTAATTACGTAACCAATATGCGATAAACTAAATTTGGTTATAGCGAAGCTTTTGGCTAAACTTAAATTAGAGTCTATTGAATTTACTTAATATTCTTGATAAGCTTATAATCTTACATAATGAATACTCTATTGGTTTCAGGATTGAGGTTAGAGGCTAAATTCTTACGATAACTACGAATAATCTTGACCATTATAATCCGCGATTTTACTCAAGTATATATAAGAACATGCGAGCTTAAATAAAAATTTATTTTTGAGCATGCCTAACAGCCCAAAAAGTTTAAGTAAACTTTTATCCTGTAACACCTTCTAATTCCTCTTGCGAGGTAATCCAAGCTTCTACTACTTTTTACATAAAGTAAATTGAGGGCACTTGAGTTCCAGACAGAGAGTGCAGAGGTCTCAGACCTACAACATATACTATAGAGAAGGATATTATACATCCCATTACTACCCGTGCTGATTTTAACATGTTCTGGAAAATTCGGAACTGTCAACAGACCGCTGGGTTGGAAAATTAGGCTTTACAAATAGTAAATCCATTTTGAAAATTTTACTAATTCTATAAGGTTTAACAAAAATTTACTAGTAAAATAAAGTGATTAAGGCAACCCAATTAAGTCTCTCCCTAATTGGGTTAGGCCTTTTTGCGAGAACCGCTGTCACTGTTATTTCCTTCACTAACGGGTATTTTAAGTTATTGCTTTTATATAGTAATTGAGACTTATACAATGAACGAACATGTTAACTGTGAAACAGCTTTAAGCTGCTCTAATTCGTTAACGACATATTCGCGGGAGCCACTTAGTACTAATATTTTACACTGTAGTATTATTTTTATTATATTTGCAACATTGCGCTTCTAAGAGCGATGGGCTTATTTACCAGGGGAGCTTCTTCCCGACTTGTCAAGGCAAGTTGGCGAAAAGTTGGAGGTTTTTGTTTCATCAAAGTATATAGTTTCCTCTAATCCAAAAGTTGTTAATTGCTTGGTACATTTAATGGAAGCTTTACACATTATATAATAATGAATTTCAGTTGATATAGCTTTTTGGATCTGATATATATACGGATGATTCTGACATTGTTGCCATTTTGGTCCATTTAGGTTTCCTCTTTATCTTAAATTTGTATATAACGTTTTACTTTTTTAAATACCAGGAAAGGTCAAATTAAGCGATACGCCACCTAGTTATGATTATCTTGTGACTCTTGAAGTACTCCCGCCTTTACCAGTTTACGTTTCAACTTCTCGTGGAATTACCTCCAGATCTTGGGAGGTTGGGCATGAAGGCTGCAGCATTAAATTATGCGATCTTCAAATATATCAAGTAAAAATACATTTAAATATAAACTGGCATTTTATTTTTTTAAGAAGTTATTAGAATTTTAAAGGAAGATTTTATATACTTTTAATCTATAAACTTATAATTTTTAAACGCTAATTGTTGAATTCAAGTCAAACGTAATGCTTTATAAAATAAGCGAATTTCGCATAGTTGATATACATTACATGCATATTTACCAATAGAATTTTGCTATTCTTGTAATTACTATAAAACTATTGTGTAAATATCAAGTAAAAGTAGAACTTAAATTAGCAGAGAATTTTGAATAACCAGTTTATATAAGTAACCTTTTTTGCAGTGCTTGAGTTACACTATTGCCACTAGAGTAATATTACTTTTAGCATACTTTAAAACAATAAAGCTATTAAATCATGCGTCTTTCTCATAACAACATAAATACGAAATACTTTTTAAAGTTTTTTTCTTATTAAAGTTAGCAGGAAGTTTAAGCATGATTTTTGCAAAGAAAAATGAATTATCCTAATACAAACTGACGTAACCATTCTTAACGATGACTTCAGTTTTTGTAAAAAAAACTTTTGTAGTAAAAAAGTCCTCATTTTGGGTAGGTTAATCGCATGCTTAATATTTAATGTGAAAGAGCATCGCTACGAAACAAAAGCCGAGTTACGTTTTTGCTTCACTAGAAAACGGTGAAAGGGTATCCTTGTACTTATTTTTTTTGCTAATAATCTAATGCGAATTAATAAGGTTAAGTTTAAACTTATGAGGTTGTTAAGAGAGTGTAGGTTAAAAAAAAATGTTTTCAACTAAATATACAGTTTATGTTGCCAGGGTAATACTCTTTTTCGTTATTATATTTCGTTAATTTTGCTTTCCTATTGAAACACAAATATAGGGGGATACACTAATATTTAATCTAACTGGTTGTTAATCTTTTTTAGCAAGTGAAATTTTCTTTTTCTTATTTATACTTATAAAATTATAAAGGTATATGTAAAGACTGTAAAATATTTATAACAATTAAAAATTTATTCTTTTCAAAATTTTATAATAACTAAAAATCTGTGCCAAGTTTTCATTTAATACTGTTACTCTAACTGGAAGTTAATTTTAAGTCAAAAAAGTAATGCCAAAGCGTTAAGGTAAACTAGTTTGTTTTCTAAGATACAACTGAAAGCCTCAAATTTACCTTTCTAGCCACAAGCCAAGTTATAACAATCTTTTTCAAATTTTAATGACCCAAAACACAAGCTTAATTGGAACTATTAATACACCTATCTTTCCACTACTAAAATTTAGCTAAGCTTTTACAATTTTTTTTTTATAGTTAATGTTCAGATTAGTCTAAATAACTTAAAACATAGAGCCCAGAAGAATTGGGAAGAAAGTCAAGCAAAATAGCTAAAGCTGAAGGCGGATCGATCTCCTTTGGCGAAACTCATGGCTGTTTTTTGCCAAGCTTAACGCTGGTGTCTTCTCTTTCAAACGAGCCATGGTTATTCTTTTTTCACGCTATTATTTAAACCTGCTATTAGTCTTAGCTATATTAACATTAAGTTATAATGATATACCCCGTTTTAGAGAAACACTAAACCTTAAATAAATAATTACATTCTTTTTGTAGTCTCTCTTCACAAATTTATAAGTGGCATAAACAATTTTTTTTGTGTGAGAAAGCACAAAGTTAGTCGATACTTATTAGGTGTTGTTTCGTTTTGAAATTTTTATAATAGAATTGTAAAAGTCATTGTATTAGTGCTTTTTGCGGTTATTATAAACAATATTTAATAGAACTATTGAATTAGGTAGAAAAAAGTCAGCTAATAAACAGTTACCCTTAGTTAAACTTTAAAATTTAAAAAGTGGATTTATGGAGGTTTTTCCTGGAAAAAGAGGGTTTTGGTTGCTCACTTAGTTGTATACCTTAAAACGGGTATAACCCTAACCAAAGCGGTTTATAGTGAAAATCTTATTTATTATGCCTTTATATATCAATTAAATACTATTTCATAAAACGTTCAGTTTGGTTTTGTTTTAAACAAATGTAACTTTTAGCTACAAATTTTTATTGAACACTGTCGCAGACAGAGGCACAACTCAAATATCGTTTACTTCTTATCGCTTCATACGCGAAGTTTTATATCTTGAAACAAGATATGAAAGGCAATATACGTTAAATAGTAATTCGTTACAGATTATAGATTTCTAATACTACTTTCACTTTAGATTTGAGCTGTCTCTAAATTATGAGAAACTTGTACACGAAATAGTAGTTTTATATTATAAACGAAAAATTTTAATTTTAGTTATCTTCCACAAATTTTATTAGGCTACTGGCCCTCCCTATACACTCAAGGGGTGCGGGCAGGATATGCTTGGAACTTCCGGCCCAACAACCCACAATATATTGATACCGAAAGAAAGCGAGAAGGCTAAAAATACGGTAAATCTATCCGTTTCAGTTCAAAACACTGCTGAACTAGCTCCTGAGTATGAAGCTTGACAAAAAGTAGAATTACTGCAGATTGATTATCTAAAAAGTTGTAGGGTTAGCAACAAGCTACTGCAAAAGTATAATAAAGAATCTTCAAAGGAGCCACTTTATATGTGGGCAAAAGTGAAAAACCCCTACTACGTGGATAACGAAGTTCTTACTGAAACTTGCCCACTTCCAGGAGAGATCAAAGAATGTATTCATGAGGTTAACGTGATATTTTTCCGTTAAACCTCCTTTGGTTATATACTGGTTTACTTAAACTTTTATAAATAATATATATACACTTAAGAGACTTGGTTAACTTTTTTAATTCTTTAATTCCCTTTAGAACCTAACTTGGAAGGATATCTTTTGGTTCCACGAAGGCGTTTGCGTCAATAAGAAAAAATATGTGCTCACTTGCGCGTTTTGGAGAAGAAGAAACTTATAAAGTGGAGAATTCCTTATTCCTTTATATTCATGCGTCTATTTAGATAAATGGATGCTTAAAATATATTTTTTTCAATAATGGCGTAATACTGACAATACCGCACACAACTTTCCTTCCTTTTTTTCCTTTAAGAAAGGTTATTTTTTTTTGAAAGGTGATGTTAATACTCGTTACCTTAGCAAATTTTTTCCTGCCGCCTAACGTAGCGTTTAGAGGACATGAAATATTTCATGAATTACACCATTTTATTAACTATCCGTCACCTTTACAATAGTTAACAATTCCTGATTTACCACTGTCTTTATTTTAATTCTTTACCTGCTAACTTCAATTGGTATTCTACCAACTAACCTACTCTCGCTGGTCTGTTTTAAAACAGGAAAAACGCGAAGTAATAAAGCGACTTACAATACTCGCATTCTAAGATAATATAAAGGTAGTCAGGTCGTTTAATTTTGAAAAATGTGCGGAAATATAGTTCAAGGCGTTAATTATTAATTTGTTGTGGTGCTTTTCATATTAAGTAAACGTTTTCAATTAAGATAAAGCAAAAGAGGTCCAATTACATTTATGATGTAATAGTTGGGTTTTCGCACAAACCAAAGGTGCACCTGTAGACAATATAAGGATATCGTTTAGAAAAATCTGAAGTCTGTTTATATGCAAAGTCGAGAATGTGCAGTAGGAGTATGAGGCAGATGCGTAACTATTAGTAGGTCCTATTATAGCTTTAAATTATTACTAAGATTCATACTTCTTTTGCATATAAGAGGAGATAAACAAGTTGTATTCTTAATTCTTTTTTTTTAACAAGATAATTTATGAGGCTTTCAGTTAAGATTACAGTCTATAAAAGGATGTATATTTGCAATAGCGTCAGAGCTTTAATAGTTCCCTTTCTTCTCTTTCTTGAAATAAGCTTTTGGTGGGGTTTATCGTGGTTTTCCATTATGCAAACTAATTTTCAAGTATATAAAGATAGGTCTGCACAGATTTAATAGCTAATTCAGTTAATTTAACAAATATGGCAGTGTTGTCAACGTATAGGAGGCTAAAGAAACTCGATAGGAAAAGGAATACTGCATGTGCACAGGAAAAGCAATAAAGGTTACAGTAAGGAGTTCTGTGTTAATAACTTTTTCCTATCATCATCCCGGAACATTGCTGATATACTGGAGTTTATAACGTTCGGGACACCTCTTAACCTTTCAGGATGTTAGATGTGGTCACCGCCTCGGTAACCTTTTACTAGATTTCTTTAGGGGAAGAAATAGGTAATTAAAACCAATAAGTGCGATCTGCTCTAACGGAAGTTAAAAAACATGTTAAGCAACGAGTTCTGTAATAGAACGCATTGGTGTGCATGCTAGGAATAACACAGTCGAAAAAATTATTTTACATATTTGTAGCCTATACAAGTGGCTCATAGAAGAATACAATTAAGTGGAAGATGCATAAGTAAGTTTAGACTTTAACATGCATTCTTACAGAAGCAGCTTGTCGTTCAAGTTGCTCCTTTTACTTATTAAATTTCTTAATTGCGTAGTCTAAGCGGGAATACTAGTTAAACTTGTCTGTATTCATTTTAAGGCAATTAGACTATAAACACTAATAAAGATTATTTGACAGCGGTAAAATACCCATCAAACAGAGTTTCCTTTTTATCTAGATCCGTATTTTGATATTTTGATAGGAACTTTATACAAGGTGTAAATATAACTAATTGAATATATTTTATCATCAATTAGGCTCTATTTCAGATTTTGCTTTCATTACATGCCATACTAAGCAAGGGAAACTGTATCGCTAAAACCTAGACTTCTTTACTCTACGAATTAAATTTAATTATGAATACAATTATTGTGGTGGTTAGCCTTAATGACGTATAGAAAATAATAATAAAATTTAGGTTTTTAATAACGCTTTAATAACATGCATAGTAAGCTTCAGATCTTTAGTGCTGATCTTTTGAAAAAGTAAACGCAAAGAAGAAATTTTTTTTAAACAAAATAACGCATCTTTCGAATAAGGCGTTTCTGCGACTTTTTCGAGACAATAGTGAGCTTACATGTTGTCTTAGTTTTATTATTTTCGTGTTAACTAGTAAAGCGTTCAAGAAATGTTAAAGTATATTATAAATATTTGTTAGTGCAGTATATGTTGTCTAATTTTCGGAATTAAAAAATTTTCTAAATTGCTATAATAAAAATTGGTTTCCAGGTTTCTTGTAAGTTATATAATATTATTCTACTGCCATATACCATTGCGATGGATTCATGACCTAGTAACAGTATAATACAAGTCAGCTTTAAAATAAAATCAGAGGTTTACTAACATTAAAACCGACTACGCGCAAAGAAATTACGTTGATTGCGTAATTTAAACAGAAACAAGAAACTTGATAAATAGAGAAGCCCACCGAAAGTGCTATAAAACACGACTGGAACACTCCTACCCAATAGCTTTTCAAAACTGCATGCTGTTTTCTCATAAGACGTAATCTTTAAATAGTGATTTAGTCTGCTTCTTGTACTACAAAATTGAGACTTCCGCTTCCATGTCCTCAGAGCTTACATATAACATCGACGCCTCCTCTGGCTCTTCACCAAGTTCAGGCTTTCCTTCTTCTCCTTCTGCTGCAACCTCAACTACTTTTCCGGATTTTTCTAAGAAATTTACATCAACTTCAACCATTGAAAACAATGAAACCGTAGAAGTTGTTAATAAAAAAGGTTTCTTTTTTTGTATACCTACTGTTTTATTGAATGTTTTTACTGTTTAACACTGTTATTTATATTAAAGAGTCTGATATTATAAACGGAATCGGCGAAAAGTTGTCTTGTGGTAAAGCATTATATAAGCTTTATAATAACATTTAACTTCCGCTTTTAGTTTCATTGAATAGCGATATGCACCCCGAAAAAGAAGTCAACAGCACACATAAGTTTCAACAGATTTCAAAAGCAGAAAAAGAGCACCTTAACGTCATAATTATAGGGCACGTTGATGCCGGAAAATCTACAATAGGGGGGCATCTGATGTAAACTTTTAATTATTTAAACAATCTTAATATTTTAACCCTTTTTATAGGGTTTTGACTGGGCAAGTCGATGCTCGGACACTCGCCAAGTACGCTGCTGACGCCAAATTAATTGGAAGAGAAAGCTGGTATCTCTCCTGGGCTCTGGGTTAGCCTTACTATATATATTTATTAAATAACATATTATTAAATTGCTCTTTGCAAAAGATACTAACGAGGAAGAACGGGAAAAGGGCAAAACGGTAGAAGTCGGGAGAGCACACTTTTGCACAGAAAACAAAGTATTTATTAATAATTGTTTAGTTATCCCATTTAATCTTTGTGTGAAGAAATTTACCATCTTGGATGCACCCGGCCATAACTTGTACATCTCACAAATGATTTCGGGTGTATCCCAGGCAGACATTGGCACACTTTATTAAACTTGCATTTGTTTTATTTTTTTTTAACTTACCTACTGTATAGGGATTTTGGTTATTTCTGCACGTAGAGGCGAGTTTGAAGCGGGTTTCGAGAGGGACGGCCAAACTAGAGAGCACGCATTGCTGGCAAAAACGGCGGGGGTACGTTTTATGGTGGTGCTAGTTAATAAAATGGACGATATCTCTGTGGAGTGGAGTAGTCAACGGTTGGCTTTACTTTTCGTGTTAATCTTGACAGCTGGATTTACAACCTTACGTTAGGTATAATGAAATTTTAGAAAAACTTGTACCATTTCTGAAGAAGTTTGGTTACGTGAACGGTAGAAATGGTTCACAAAGCTATTAATATTACTTTTATGAACTGTCTACCTATAACCGGCTTGTACTATTACACTATTACCTGCACAGCGTACTTTATTCCCTGTTCTGGACTCACGGGCGCAAATCTTAAGGATCCTTTGCCAGAGGGTTTTTTTCCAGCTTACAAGTATTTTTATTTAATAATCCCTCCAGTCGCTTTTGGAATTAGTTAAGCGCAGGGGTCCCTCGCTTCTGCAGTTTCTTGATCGCATGAAGCCCATCCCACGGCAGCACAATGCCCCAGTAAGACTTCCTATTCTGGACAAATACAAAGATATGGGCGTCATTATAGCCGGGAAACTCGATTCCGGCATGATTCAGCTGGGAAAGAAGTACACGCTGATGCCGAACAAAGTGAGTTTTTTTTGGTAGCTTGGTTCCATTACTTTCTAAACTATTCACCAGATTGTGGTCGAAGTGCAGCAGATTGTTATTGACGAGGAAGAGGCGGAAGTAGCGCCTTCCGGATGCAGTCTCAAGCTGAAGATTAAAGGCGCAGAAGAGGACGTGAGTACTTTTCAAGGCGGAGGTGGCGGGGAGACTTTTACATATATCTGGCGCAGGACGTGCATCCGGGTCATGTCTTATGCGAAAGCTCCCATCTCTGTCCGGCCATCGAGAAGTTTGACGCCGTTGTTCGCTTTATGAACTTGGAAGGGGGCATCGTCACTTCCGGTATGAATTATTTTGTAACCCCGTCACTCCGCTGTAAGGGCTCATTGGCTCTCACCTGGAGGCTATACTTGTGTCCTGCACTGCCACGCTTTGATTGAGAACGCTACGCTCTTGGTACGGTGGCCCTCGTCGTGGTACGCATTGGAGCTTTTAGCATTTCACTGCTGCTAGAAAATAATAGGGAAAGTCGATGATAAAGGGGAGCTTAACAAGAAGCACATGTTCCCCAAGTTCGCGAGAAGCGATGAAATGGTTATGGTACGCCTGCAAACTGATGGGAGGGTCTGCGTAGAAACGTTTAAAGACTTTCCCTCACTTGGAAGGATTACTCTAAGAGATGAAAGTAGCCGCTCTGCCCTATCTTTTAATTCTAATCTCCAGCTTATTTTACAACAGAAAGAACAGTTGCCATTGGAAAGATCACCAAACTTGTGGGATGAGTAAACTTCATCCGATAATAAAAACCTCTGCAACTCCACGTTTATTGTGTCTTCTCCTTGCGCTCCATCGCCTCTCTGCAACCGTGCTCAGGCCCGCAAACTTCTCAAGAAATTTCGTGTTCGCATGTCGTGGGAATTAAGGAGAGCGGTTTCCTTTTCTGTTCGATGCACGACTAGTAGAGAGTATAACATACCATTTAGCCCAGAAAAAAACCTTTTTGTGCAGCATAAGCAAGCAGAGAAGAGCTGGAAGGTGTATGATGGAAACAAAGAACAGCCTTCTCCCCGTTTTCTTAGTTGCACATTGGAAGAAGCTCCAACTATGGTATAACTATTATTGGTAGCTTGAAAGATGGGTACTAAATTCTACAGCGTTAATATTACCAAAACTGTATTTATTGCGAATGATGTTATTAAGAACTTCCACTCGGTGAGACCGCAGTAAACGCACAACCCGCACACCGGAAAGAGCATCAGAGTGTGCCGGATGGCTACCCGCTTCGAAAGGGCCGGATCAATTACCGACATCATCTGGTACCTACCGGAAGTACGAGGTTGCGAAAACAAGGAGCCACAAGTAAGTAGAACACTTGCCCAGCTCTACCGTAATCTTTCCGGAGGTTCCAGCTGAGTGAATTAAAGTGGGGAAACTGCCAGACATAGAGTAACGTACCAAGTAGCCAAGCTCCATCCTCGAGGTTTCCCTTTATGTAGTGCAGGACGTTCTTAGCAACCAATATAGGTATATATATATTTACGCATCCATAAACCGTGCAAGCGGCCCAGCCCATCATGGGAGGGATTGCGCCAACCACCGCGCCTATCCATGTGTTTACGACGTGCAGTCTTTTAGAGGCTGTATAAAAGAAGGAGTAAAGAATTATGTTTCCGAAGCCCAGAGCCGCCTAAGTAAAGCGTGATACTACTTCTACTTATAATGAGAGGCAGGACTCTTACTACGAGGCTATTAAGTTTGACGCAAAGAATTCCTGTCCCAAAGGCGCCCAGAGTTACGCCGTAGTTAAAAGCATGGAAAGGGGTTAGGGCGCAGCGGACCTGTTGTGTTCGTACAATATTAAAAGCAAAGTGCGTTAGGTCAGAGTTACTACCAATGGTCTGTTTTTCGTTCGAGACATTTGAGCATCAAAAGGGACTTCCATCCTAATTAAAGAGTTATGTAAACATGCACATTTTGGAATTCTCAAGTGCAATAGAACTATATTATTTTGCTACTTTCTTTTATAAAAGTATTAAACAACCATTGATTTAAGACGTTCGCCGAAGAGATGCACATAGCAGTCCCGACCGCCGAATAAAACATGTTCGGAAGAGAGTGCTCTCCCGGCGCCATTGCGTAACCAACTAAAGCTGTTAGCGTAACAAGAGCACTAAGCTCTGGCTTCGACAATTGGGCATACACTTTCAGTAAATCTATCGTCTAGTAATATAACTTAAGGTTAAGAGTAAAATAACGGTCAATAAAGTGACCAAAAAATAAGTACTTTTCGCTCGTAGACATTACATAAATTAGTTTTGCACTGCTCTTTAGAACTGTAATAAAAAGATTTCGGCAGTGACTGCACTTTTCGAAAGTGAAGTTTATTTGCATGGTTATAACGTTTAAATATTATTAAAGCTTTAATAAGACTGCAACTTTCTCTATGGCTCTCATCGTTTTTTTTACAACTAATTTTCGTTTTTTTTTGAGCAAAGAAGCTCACAGTATAGTGCAAACGGTCAACAGCCTTCAAATTTAAGTTAACTCTATTGCAAGCTTGTTTATAAACGCGAGTGTTAGTTTAGACACTTTCGGTGTATTATAAATAACCTTTAAAAGTTAAGAGAGCGCTGGCCATATAGTGTTGTAAAGTCTATTACAAAGAAACAAAAAGCAAATATTCAAGCTTTAAGATAAAAATAGACTAACAAGCGACCGTAAGTGTACTGCTTTACGTGCTAGGTGCATTAAACTTGCACAAAGGCAACCGTATAGGTATCTAACAAATACTTAGGTGAGAGGAGCTAGGGCCAGTGTCAAGGGGCACTATAAAAAGGTGTAAACGCAAATTGTCGATCGAAGACGTGAGTTGTCAACGTAGTTCAGAGGGTTAGAGCATTGTCGCGCAATTTCAAAATCTCAAGGTAGTGGATTCGATTCCCGTTGGCAGTAACTCGCGTTATTTCTGGTCTGGTAATTTTTTTGTATACAACTTCTCTACCAACAAAAATCCTGATACACTACGCAGCTACACCCAGGCCGAGGACAATGGGTAAACGAGTCGGATGAATTTATACTTTAAAAGAATAATACTTTGTAAAGCCTTAAAGGTTTAAATGTACACAACACAAATTTTATTAAACTTAGTCTATCGTTGAGTAAGTTATTAATAGCTTGACGGTAAAAAATACGAGAACGCCTATTATTAGTACCTAACAAAAATTGTCTTATACGTAATTTATCGACTGAAAGTGAGTTGTCACCGCAGCTCAGAGGTTGAAGCATTGTCGCGCAATCACAAGGTCTCGGGTTCGATTCCATCGGCGCCAACTCGCATTTTTCTGGTCTAGCGGTTACGTATACAACTTCCCTACAAACAAAGTTCTGAAAGTACCATTATTAAATCTTAGTCTAGTTATGTAATTTATATTATGTTATTGAAACCAAAAACTTTTTTCTCATGGCCGTGAGAAATTAAGTAAAGGCTCTGAGGGTTGGATATAGCTTTGTTTTTATTGGTTAATAATCAAAAATTCATAATTAAGCTAACAGTAGGAAAGATAATTTGAGTTTCCTATATTTTTAGAAAAAAACGCCTAAAAGAGGGCCTTAATAGGCGCTACCCAGTCGTCACCTCGCTATCTTACAGCTGAATCCGCAAGACTCTTTTGTCACCGCTGCTTTTTGCGCTCTACACGAGCGTCATTCTTCATTCCGTCCACCCTCACACGTGGGTCGCCGATTACCCGATAAGACGATTATTTATTCACCCGCAAAGTCAGCCGTTTTGCTATGTCAGCGCTTACAATTTTATCTTGACGCGCTTGCTAGCTGGTGTCGTCAAGGGGACCTCTCCATTAACGCTGCAAAAAGCAAGGTGCTTTTTATAACGAAGGCACACCATGCGCTGCCGCCTCCATTAGCTTTTAATGGCATGAAAGTTCCTTCATCTTCTCAGGCGAAATACCTAGAAGTCTTTATAGAGTCTTAACTGTCGCGGCTTGCACACGTAATTTACGGGGGGCGAAGGTTAAGGTAGCGACCCAGATGCTATATCCTCTGTTGTGCAGCAAAAGTAAAGTTTCGTTGCGCAATAAGCGAAGGCTTTATGTGTTGTGCACTCGGCTAATTATGACATATGCATCTTTTGCCTGGCCTACGACTTACCGCAATAACGTCCTCGCTTCAAGCGGGACAAAACAAACTGCTGCGTTTTTTAATTTGAGCGCAATGATACACTTCACCACGAACTATGGATCGAGCTGCTGACCACAATATTTAAAAATGAAGCCAGTGCCCTCTAAGAACGGAAATCGCCTTTTAGCGGATGAACTCACTTACGAGTTGCGCACAATACCTCCGTCCGCGGGACGTACTCAGCATGACGGTTGAAAGCTAAGTTGGGGACCTAAATTGAACATGGACACATGTTAGGATATAATTTTACTTGTACTCGTGGACGCTAAAAACCTGTGGGAGAGTTGGTGTGTATTAAAAGTTGTTAATTCGATCGAGCACCAGGAAGCGTCATTTATAAATAAATTAATAGAAGGTCACCTTATCTGAAAGGAGCAAAAAATCAATATTCTTTCTGATTTTCCGCTATTACAATCTAGTAGCAACTTTTGTTTTACAATAGATGGATACATAATTTTAAATGTTTGGGTAGTAAATACAATTCTACCCTTTAAAACATATAAATTAACCACCTTAAAGCCGCTCACCTTATATAAGAACTGCGTGTCTTCTTGAATTTTTCAGGTTGCTAACCGCGGGTTAAAGGTTACAAAATTATTATTTCATACACCCACGTTATGCGTTGCCCACTTCAATAGTCTCCTTGCCAGTGTGCGGTTAGCTTACTACTCTGTAATCGCTGAAATTGTATTATTCTCGGATATAAACGTACCCAATAAATTACTGCACGTAATATAACCGTCAGAGCTCGTTAATTAGCTTTAGGTATCAACTAAAGCTTTTTAAAACTTGTTGCTTTCTTGCTTTTATCAAAACTTACGTAGGTTAAAAATGACTTTTTCTAAAGTTTGACCCTATATTCCTATGTAATTCTTAAAGTTCCTTATTAACGTTAAAAAAAAAAAATTTCAAACAGCGTACACAACAGCATTTTTGTTAGCTTTAAAGACTCTTTTCTTAAATTTGCTCTTTTAGTTATACAGGGATTACGGTTATCTTTAGTATAACGCCTTAGTTCACAGCCAGCATATTACTCTATATAGTTCTAGATTCTGAGACTAATATTTTTAAACTTACCAAACTTCGCTTTTAATAACATTCTTTTCAACTTATTTGGTCAATTCAAAGGTATAGGTAACACTTTGGAAAAAGGCAAACGCCGGATTGACAAAGGTGAGCCAAAAAAAAAATCTTAAGGTTGTTTACAGTACTTTTTGCCCAAATTAAGCGAACTACATCTCGCTTAACTAAATCTTTTAGTCTTTAGAAATGTTATCAGAAAGATGCCAACTTAAAAACACGAAACTCCCTTCACTTTTTTTTTTTGGAGTATGTAACGTAAAAAACGTCCCCAATGGCATATTTGTAGCCTATTCGCTTGGTCCCTATCTACTGAGAATAGCGTCTCTTACAGATAACACGTACTCATAAATCCAAATCCAAAATTTTATAGCAGTCTCTTTAAAAGTTTAAAGTAGGCAATGATCAATACTACAAAAAAAGTATATATACATCTATATTAAGTTATTCAACTAACTTCAATTGAATTATACAAAATAATAAAAAAAATAATAACAATTAAACTCTTAAAAATGCGCAAAAGGGCAAATACTAAAATCAATAGTGCTAAATAAAGCGTAACTATAAATTAAGGATAGTACTGAATATGATAATATTTTTTACTAACTTTGTTATAAAGCAGATTAATTACAGAAACGTAATAACAATGAATATTAAATTTGTTTAAGGTTTAAAATTATATACAACCTCCGCCATATGTTAGGATACTCATAAAAAGCCAGATAGTGACTCAAAAAGAAATACGTGTTAGAACCATGTTTTTAACACCTACCTCATATTAAAATTTGTCTCCATTGAATACGACTTTCCCAGGAAACCACTCATAAACTAAACACATGGTTGCAAGGGCGAGATAAACAGCTACATCTAAGTTGATATAAAAATTACTCTTTAAAACTGAATCTTTAATTTTATCTGCAGCTATTTAAAAAAGTAATAAATGCAATTGTTTTCAAAAACCAACTGCATATACCACCGCCTCGTCATCGTGTAAAATTCAATTTTTAGGAATACATCGAAACTGACGGTATTATTAAGGTCAAGAACTAGTGCCCAGAAAATCCTGCGCCATGGGTGACTGGCACGCCGCAAGCAATACACCTTTTCATGTAGGTAGGTTAGCTTGAAGTAATACTTTCAAACTTTTCTTCTCGGGTATGACAGCCAAGTGCCACACTTTATATGTAGATAAGCTTATCCTCGCTCCAATGGTACGGGTTGGCCGTCTGCCTATGAGACTTCTCGCTTTGCAGGTATGGATAAGATAACTACCTCTGCTTTACTATAAATTCACGGATAGAAAGGTGCCGACCTTGTTTATACTGAGGAAACAATAGATTATAAGTTGGAGAAATGTGTTAGAACGGTAAATGGTTCTCTTTATTAATTTTAAATATTTTCAATCCGTTTTACCTTAAATTCATATTAAGAAACCCTTGGGACTGTAGAATACGTTCATAATTCCGAAGTTGTTTTTCAAACTTGTGGAAGAGAAAAAAACAACGTTATTTTGCAACTGGTTATAAAATAACTTATGATATATAATATATTCTTAAAATTACAATTAGGGTACCTCTAATCCCCTGCGTGCTGTAAAGGCTGCTCAGCTGGTGTAATGATTTTGAATATAACCTTGAATCTTATTGTGTTATTGTTTATTTTATAAAAACTCACTTAGCTCGAAGGACGTTGCAGGTATCGATGTTAACATGGGATGCCCTAAGCATTTCTCCGTTTCTGTACTACTTCGCAACAGTGGTTTATTTTTTTTAGAGTGAAGTTTTATATCGCTTAGGGTGGAATGGGCTCCTCTTTGCTTACTAAGCCAGATCTTGTCAAAGAGGTACTATTATTTAATTATGTAATCACTTGCTAATATTTTCTTTAGATTTTGACTAGCCTTGTGAGGAATGTTACTCTTCCCATCACTTGTAAAATTAGACTTTTACCTACAATTGCAGAGACAGTAACTCTTGCCCAGCTTATAGAGGGGACAGGCGTTGCAGCCGTAGCTGTCCATGGGAGGTTGCCCCCAACGATCCACTCTTTTCTTAGTGTACTTTACTTTTCTTGCAGATTTGTTACAGAAAGGCCACGTGAACCAGTGCACTATGACTATATTAAGGCAGTGGCGGACAGCGTACGGATTCCTGTCATTGCGAAGTAAGTAGCACAATCTATTCTTACGTCGTTTTTATCAGGTATAACGTGATTTATATTTGATTGTCGTTGATATATATTAGTGGCGCCTCGCTGGACATTGCGGTTTACGACGACATTGCGGCGGTCAAGCAGAAAACAGGGTGCGCGTCTGTAATGCTTGCTAGGGCTGCCCAATGGAATCCTTCGATATTTTCCTTTGGGAAAACTACGGCTAATCCTTTGGATAATGCTCGGGAGTATATAAAACTTGTACGGACCTCCTTCCTTTAGCACCCCGCCCGTGGGGTTTCCTGACTTATATAGTTCTAGGCGCTCCAGTACGGCCAGGACCTCGGAAATATAAAATTTAATCTTCAGCACCTGCTGCACTTTGCACCGGATAAAATTCTGAAAGGCAAGTTGTCCTCTGCTGCCAATTCTCAAGAACTTTGGTGTGGTGTCGTATATGTTTGCCTATTCTCCTTTCACCTAATCTTTATAATAGTGAACTTTTTGGCCTTCCTGTGCATTATAAAGAGGACTCTAGATGCGGGCTTCAATCACTGTATACTACTTTGGACAGCCATTTATTTGAGCTTTGGTAGTTTGGCACCTTCTTCCTGTTCTATGGAGCTTCTCTAATTTAAGTAGTCGCAGGGGCTATAGAATTAACATACTCGAGGTACCTTTCGATCGAAAAAGTTTGCGCCGTGCTAATATCTCGCCAAAATTTCGTATCTGTATTATTTCTACTCTACAATTTATTCTAACTACTAACTGATTCAGTGCTCTGGGAATACTCGCAAAAGCAATCCCTAGCCTGGCCAGAAAAACCCAAATACTGCACCCTTTACGATAATCTCCTACGGTTAGATAAGGCATATGTATTTATCCATTACATTTTATTATGACCTTTCTGCCTACAGAAAATTTTTTACGTTACTGAGTTTCAAAGGAGAATTTTACACCAGTGGTGGTTATTATTCCAACAAAAAGACAAGTGAACAAGCGGCTGCTTTAGCCTCTTTAAAGTTACTCAATGTTGATTTGCCTTACGAGCTTTATAACGTTAACAGTTCTTTATAATAAATTTGACAAGGATCTCATTTCTTCAAATGCTTCGTTATTGCCTTAAAGTTTCCTCTTTGACTTTTTAAACCTTTTCAGGCTCCCCCCCCATTTCTTAAGTTTTCCTCCATTTTCCCTCTATATAAGTATATTTGAAGGACTTAGAAATATGAGTGCTGGCGTTACTTATTAAATGCTTATATGCGAACACTGTTAGGTTATTCACAAACCTGCCCAGTGGTACTTTTATTACTAACAGTACAGAAAATAACTGTAATAATAGCATTAAACTCTAAAAAATATCAGCAGGTTAGCTTTACATTTAAGCTGGGAAAGTTAATCGCTCCTTGCAAGTTTAAATTATCATATCTGGTTCATTGTGCTCTCGTGACAAGCAGTTAGCTTCTAAGAAGAAATAGCTGGATAGGTCAAATATATCACTCTCAGTTCCTTCATTTTTACTCTCGCAATATTTTTTTTCCATGATAGAGTCTATAAAATATGCTTTGTTGGATGAAAGGTTATAATATGAAGCAATATCAGTATCTTTGTGGAACGTATTAATTGTATTTAGACACAAATCCTTAGCACTGCGCTGTGGGTGTTGACCATTAATATTCTTTGATAAAAAGTTATTCGCTACAAAGTTGGTCTGACGGTTGAAACTATTTGTTTTGTGATTTTCTATAAAAGGTATATAACCCTCCTCTATTTGCGAGAAAACTTTTGTGTTCAAGGAACCATCAAATGCCACTCTCAAATTTTCGTTATATAAGTTATAACTCGACATTCTTCCTGAAGAAGATTCATTTTCAGTATCGTGGTGTTTTACATAATCACTTAAAACCTTTTCATGGCTTTTGGTATTAACGCAGGGGTAAGCATATTCATTATGTATACTTATTGGATAACAGTAATTGTTAACCAGTTTTAATTTATGTTGAGAAATACACCTATTGTTAAGCGATGTTAACGTTTTATAATTTACTTTATCGCTTCCACTACTTTCGGCACTAGAAAATTTTAAAAAGTCATTATTACTGCTACCTATCTTGAAATTTTCTTTGTCTTCTTCAGAAGAGTGCTGTATACCAGTATAAAGATTACAGTATGTGGTTACACTATGCATCTGTTCAAATTTATGCCATTCTTTACTTTGGTGGTTTAAATTGATGTTTATTGTTTCTGCATCGTTCGTCCGCAGTGACATTAAAGGTTTACCACATTGAGGGACTAGTTCGTCATTCATTAGAACATTGTCCCCCGGAGTACCCGAAAAACTAGTGGATAATATCTGAGTTGAACGCTCTGCCTTATTACGATATGAAACTATATTCTTTTCCGTGAAGAAGGAAGTTAGATTACAATTTGATTTGGAGAAAATATAGTTTTCCTGACTTCTTGCCTCTTTTAATTTATCATGGTCTGTTTTCTTCTCTTTTGCGTTGGTTTCCTTTTTCTTCGCATGCTTTCTATTTGCCCTTCTATTTTGAAACCAAACTTGTACAACTCTTTGAGACAACCCTGTCGCATAAGACAAATCTTTCCTTTTGCTGAGATCGGGTATTGGATTTTCGTCAAAAGCCTTTTTTAAGAGGTTAATATGCGAACTGTCAATCCTGGTTCTCTTTCGTCTATTATTTTGCTTTTTAAATAAGGTAGAATTATTATTATTAAAATCTAAAACAATTTGTTCTCCAAATTTTTTTAAATTATTAATATCTGAAATTTTCGTTTTTTGAGAGGTTTTTTGTAGATGAATGGTAAAAGTTAGTGTTTGTGCAATCATTTGCATATAAGTCGAATCTTTAAATTTTGAGACATTTTTAGTGCTTTCTTGAGAATTTGTTTTTATTTTATTACCTTGAACAGAAGATTTATTTGGTACTAAATTCTTTTGAAGGAAACTATCTTTTTTCATAAGTTTTCGTTACAGTTTGTAACCTACATACGTTGTTTTAAATTGCTGAGAAATAACCTAGAAAAATAACTACCAGCCCTTTCTGTACTTAGCGAGAGCAGTCTTTCATTTTTCTACTAAGACTTGATATCTAAACTTCTCTCAGTGCTCTAATGTAATTATTTTAAATATTTTGTAATGTTTATATATTTTGACCAAGTACGTGAGATTGCTTTTTTTGGCTTTTCTATTTTGGTGGCGTCCTGCTTTAGTGTAAACACATAAACAAAAATTAATATTATCCAATCAACTTGGACATAGTTATTGGCGAATCTCAAATTTCTAGCTGCTTAACCAATATACTATAAAGGCCATCTTTTTTTAAGTCGCACGTCAAGTTCCCCAAAGCAGTCAGTATGACTTCTACCGGTTAGTCACAACTACTACAGTATATAATTTTAAGGATAAGAAGTATTGTACAAAACTGTTAGCATGATACACTGCTAAACTTAAAAAAACTAAAAACAGTAAAATTTAAAAATATTATTTGTCGTCCGGTTGCGTATTAGATATGCTTTATAAATTTATTATTGTGCTTAAGGAAATGACCCTTGCGCATAATAAAGTTATGTGACTTTTTATTTTAGTTTTGCAATAATAATTATTTAACATTAAAAAAAACCTAAAGAACTCTAAAGTTTGTGTCCTACATATATTAAAAAACAATTTAAAAAAGTATAATAATTGCAAAATTAATCGATCTTAATAAAAGTATGAATGCCTTAGTTATTTTCTTAAATTACTTTAAGCTTATAAATATGTTAATTTAATAGTGAGTTTTGTTTATTTAAAAGTTGTAAAACGGAAAGCCCGTTTCCAAATGCATCTTTTTATTCCATGTACGGTAATATCTGTTTTACAAAATAATAAAATCTCATTTTTATTTAATGTGGTACTCGTAAAAATCTCTGTTCTCTTAAAAAACTTACAAGGTTTTATTGGTACATATACGTATGTCATCTATTTAAGTGGTAAAGCGCTGTAGCATGCATTATTAGCGAATATAATACCACTATACAATTTTAACCATCTTACAATGGTATATTGTAAATATTGAGTAATATTACGGTTCGGAATTATCTAGTAAAACAAAAAGTATCATATATGTCGCATGTTTTTTCCTCGCTTCTTCCCTTTTTTTTTATTTTACCGCCTTTTATAATTTAATATCCATTAAAGACTTCGAAGTACCATAATTTTTATGCCTTTGTAAACATAATAGAAATTATAATAAATTCGTAGAAATCAATTAAAAAAATAGATAAAAACATAAAGTGTAACGTAAGTCAAAAACCATAGAGGCGAGAACAAACTTTATCAAACGATTTAAGGATAAAATTGCTAAGCAAAGCAAACTATAAAAAACAGCAAAAGATTCTAAGGGACAGCTTTGATGCAAATACAAGGTAGTAATAAGTACTTACCACTCGAGGGTACATCACATAACAAATCAGCGATCCAGTATTACCACAGATTTCTTTTTATAGACAGTAAACATTGGGTTAGAAGGCATAACCGCTTAAATAAGCAAATATTTAAAAAAGAACCGCCCTTTATTATTAAAAGAATAGTGCAATTGGCTTACTTGGGATAAGCTTAACCTCCTTAGAACAATTTATGGTTGTGGGGCTTATTAAATGAATAAATAAATTTAAGTCAAGTTACGCGCCTGGTAAGATAATCAAGGATCAGTACTACCTTGGTATTTTGATATAATACAGTTTCAGATAGTTTCCAATATTAATAGTATTAGCTAGGAAACCTATTAGTCGAGCCTAGAACGGAACAAAAAGTTAACACCACATATATTGTAACACTAGATGTGTGAATTAAAAGAATTATCAAGAAACCTTATCTTTTAAGGTTAGTGCAGACATTCTTAACGTAGCTAATAACTTATTCAATCTTTTGTTTAATGAAACTATTATAAAATTAAAACTTCTAATTACAATATAATTGATTATTAGGAAGTAGAAAGGGAAATGGTGCGGAAGTTTGAAACCGTTTTAAGCACTGAAATAATTAAGCCAATTAATCTGATAGAACCTCTGAGGTAGTATAGCTTACAAAATTTTTGAAAAGTTGACAATATGCCTTGCCTTGCAAAGTCGAACACTAGTAGTTATTACCAGTAGTAAAACAAAGTTTAATTAGAATAAAAGACTAGAATAAGGCACGAGATAAAATAAAAGCTTCAAGCAAAAATGAAAACCAAAGATTTTACGTTTTCTCATTTGTAACTTTCGTGCTAAGCACGAAAAATTAAAACTTTACTATTTCATCCTCCATTAAATTTTTGTGCTAAGCATCAAAATATTATGTACAGGTTTAAAACCTAGGCGGTTTATTGTAACAACTAATTCCCGTTTCGAGGTGAATAAAAAAAGATAAACAGATTACTTTTTTTTTCTTTGCAAATTATTTACAGCATTAGGGATCGTGAGCTGCATGTAATATAAACTTAGCCTATGTACGTGCTGCTGATAGATTTTAACCTCTTACTCTTTCTGTAAAGTTGGTTTAATACCCCGATAGAGTCCAGTATTATTAAATAAATTTATACATGCTTTAGCTCTTCGATCACTTAATTATATTACGTTAAAGGCTATAGTATATCTTATTTTTACATTGTTTAAGGTGTTGTTTTATATTTATGTTCGAGGTCTTCCGGGCTGTAAGGTCAACAGTCTTTAATATAATCTAATTATCAGTCGTCTATGGTAGTTTTAGTTACAAAATAGAAGTGCAAAATTATATAGTAAAGGAAAATCATTTACTTAAAAGTGAGCTAAAAAAAAAATATTCAAGGCTAAACCAGTTTTGTGAAAATTCAAAGGTGTAATTTAAAAAATTTTCAGCTTTATCCAAATTATAAGATATTAAGAGTTTATAGTAGGGGATAAAGTGAGTTGAAAAAGTGCTACTTATTATGGAAACTTATTCCTAAAAAAAATTTAGGAAAAACAACGAGAAGTTCAGACAACGGCTATGTGAGAAAAAGAAAATATGCGTTTAAGTAGGAGAGAAAGGCAACTTGAGTAGAGTATAGACATTGTAGCATGCTTCTAGAATTGGCAAAGACCCAGTGTTTGCACTAAGGTGGGGCAGGTTCTATCTTACCTCTATTCTTACTGGAAGCGTTATTAATCAGAATATGCATGGGCTGAACCCACTCGGTACTGTCTTAAGCTCACTAACCTATATCCTGGCATTGCCTACTGCTCTCTTCTCGTTTTAAGCATTTAAACAGAATATTTTGACCCGGCTAATAAGGTGATATTAACTAAGTTACTATCGAAAACTGACTTATAGAACGAAAGCCATAGTAAGGAATGCATTAGTAATGCGTGATGACTAACTATTACAAGCTTTATGACATGGTAAAACTTGGGTTGAAAATATCCTTCTTTACTAGAAACCAACTTGTAATACGAGGGATACAAGAAGTATTGGTATTCAGTAAATTACCCGCTGACTGCTGGTGCTCTCTTAAATAGTTTTATTACCCAGTATAATAAGTAGATGGGGTAGTTTCTAAAAGGAACTCTTTATGACTACCTTAATATTTGCATAGGAAGGGACAGTTTTCTTATAAAATCAGCACGTCACGAGTTAGTTAAGAAAACTAATATGCGAAAGCTTTGATTATACCTCGCCACACCTTTTGTAAACAATGAAGTTTATCTTTTAAAGTGACGGTAAATAGACTGGTAAATTACACGAAGAGAAGCCGTTGCTATATATGAAAGTTGCATTAACCCCCCTCCCCTTCTGGCTGTGGATGTGATAGAAGAGCATAAAATAATATGTGAGGATTAATAAAAAGAGCTTTATATACTTTTTTTCATGTATCTTTCAATCAACACTTAGAGACCTAGCTTGGTAATACCCATTAAGTAATCAATAAAATAACCAGCGTTTTATTTTATTTAGTTTAGCTTCGGGAATAGTAATATGTGAATTTAAAAACTGCTGATTGTTGTATATCGTGGTTCTTTATGTGCTGTATTGAAACGCTTGAACTTGTGATTTTAACATGTATGAAATAGACTTTTAAGAAATAAGAGCACTGCCGAGCCAATTAGTCAAACTTAACTTTACAAAGTCATCCGCTCGGTTAAATAATGTCTACGTAATTTAAGACCTTTTACCCTATAGAATAACACGTAGTGGCAAACAATTAACCTTTTCACTATTGTCGAGTTCCTCTACAACACAGTCAGTAGTTATGTGATCCGGAATGTAAAGTCAAAAAAAAAAAATGTATCTCTAGGGGTCGGGCGCGTAAGGTTATAACACATAGTGAAAGCTTATTGGAAAGGCATAAGTTCCTTTACTAGTTGCTCAACATAATTGTATATATTAAGCGAATCGCTTCAAATGGATTCAGATTTACGAAGCACGCACACCTTAAAAAAAAAAAGAGCACACAAGCGCACACACATTTTTACACCGCGTGGATCACTAACTTTTGGAGGTCAGCGGGAAGCTATATCCGGTCTTTACAACTTTCAGAGGTTGTGTATTTATTCTAATAGCTCTATTTGAGAGTATCGGTTTGGCTAACCTAGCGTAAACGGTTATATTATTGAAGAATGAGTGACGTTCGGAATCTTCATGATAGGGGTTCAGAACCAGGCAAAATGTTTTTGGGCGGGCTAAGTTGGAACACGACTGATGGTTTTCGTTTATTAGTTTTTATTTATTTTAACTTAACTTAAAACTAACTTCACAAACTATGATTAGTATGTGCTTGGCAGGCTTAAATAAAAAAAAACTGTTACTACTGTTATGTTTTTTTATTATAATTAGTTTTTTTCCACACCTATATTTTTATATTATATCGGTAATAGTCGATTTCCATTTCTATAACATTTCTACTTATATTGTTAAAAGTAGAAATGGAATAAAACAACTTGGGTTCTATTCTTTTCATTTATTACCTTTTTTTCCTAGTAGCTCTAAAATCTTTGTGTTTTATTAGACACCTTGAAAAAGTATTTTTCCCGGTACGGAAGACTTACCGATTGCGTAGTAATAAGAGACGGCCATGGGAGGCCTCGTGGTTTTGGTTTTGTTACTTTTGCTGATCCGTCTAACTGTGAAAAAGTTCTTGCAGATAGTCCACACTTCATAGACGATCGACAGGTTAAAGATCAATTAGTTAGTTTCTTAGTTCAGAGTCACACGCTTTTAAGTCGTTTATAAGAGTTATTATTTTTTCAATAAAGTTGTAATAGTTTTACACAAAACAATAACTAGATTGATCCCAAACTTGCTATTCCTCGTGAGGACTGCGAGGAGCCTCCCGTCCAGTCCATCGAGACTTTCCGAACCAAGAAATTGTTCATTGGAGGCGTCCCCTTGGATGCTGATGAAAAGAAACTACGAAAGTGTTTTGAACCCTACGGTGTCTTCTCACCTTTTAGACTATATACCACTTTTCACGCACTTTTTGTTAGGTGTTATAAAAGAAGCTTTCTTAATGTACAACCGGGACACTGGAGAACCAAGAGGCTTTGGTTTTATCTCCTTTGATAGCGAGGAAACTGTTGAATATTTGCTTGCTAAGTCTGAACTTACTTTTGAAATTGATGGTAGACGGGTCTCTGAGTATTATAATATATTACCAAATTGGCCTCATTTAATTTATTTTAGCTTGAGATTAAAAAGGCGTTACCCAAGCAATCTGAATTACTAGCTCGCCGAAGTGAGCTCGACTATTACAGTCCTCATGGCCCCGTTCTCCGCCAGAAAAGCGAAGACATCGATCGTGGTCGCGGTTACCGTCACTGGGACCCTCGAGAAAGAGACAAAGATAGGGGCAGGGAGAGGTCCAGAGAAGCAAGAAAAGAAAGAGCAGACGAAAAAAAAAGGGGTGGTGGCATTGGGAGGGAAAGACGCCGAGGATATGAACCTGTACATGATTACGAGAGGGATTATGGCCGTGAAAGAGGCTCTCGAAGAAGTAGAAGTTTGGATAGGGTACATACCCTCTAGAGGAAGGGAAAAGAGCTACGAAGTTGACGACCATTATAGAAGCGCCCACTATTCCACACACGGAGAAAACTACATTAGGCGTGGCTTATCCCCTGATAATGTTCATAGAGCTGGCCACACTGGTAGGAGTCGCAGGGACATTAGGGATTATGCGAGCAGCGACCCTTACGGTTACTACAACGGGGACACTGAGCGCGTCTCGAGAGAATTCGGTCGGGAGCAAATTGTTGCTAATGAATACAGCTTCAGAGATTCAAAAGAGTACTCTACAGTTACTGGTTATCCTGCTTATAAAAACTTCGATAGCTATAAGGAAAGCGATACTAGTAGAGCGACTGATCCCTCGCCATTTTCCAAGAACATTAGGCCCGGTGAGCTTTTGCCTTATCATAATAGCATGCAGGGGGCATCCGATAATAAGAACGAATACTCTAGCATAAATAACTACGACCGGAGCCAATTTTTAGATGTTCCGCCAGCTAAAAGCGCTTATGACAACTACTACGACCAGTCTACGAGCAAGTCTCATTCCTCCTTGCAACCATATAGCAGCTATGGCACCAGCATTGGTGCGGGTAACCCGCCATCAAGACAAGCCCAGCAGCTTCCCGTTCAAAGGCATCCGCCCCCGACTGCTCTTTACCCTCCGACCACTAGTTACCCCCGGCCCTCTGCGAGTGGGTACCAAGTGCCAGGAGGAAGCAGCCACTACCGAACTTCAGCCCTTGACATGAGCAAAATGACCTATCGCCCTTACAAGCCGTACTGACACGCCTAGCCTTTGGAGAGAAAAGTTTTAACGACGAATGAGTTGTTATTGGCTAAAACTTAAAGTATTACCGATCGTATACAGCAGATTTAATAAATGGGCCTTAGGTTGTGTGAACTCTCGAGACAGAGTTAACGTTAATACTATGATAATAGGGATATTTATAAGCAACTATTTTATAGTGGTTACCTTAATTTTAATACATATTTATAAAAGCGACCTTGGCTTTATAGAGCACTTTATTTGTACGAATTCCAAGGCTCGTAATATGGGCAACCTCTCAGGTACTTTAGCTGTGTGGTCTAGGTACTTAACTACATAAAGTAATAAATTCGGCAAGGGGTTACCGCCTAGCGTCTCTTTTGTAAACTAACCTCAACCAGAAAACCCGAGCTATTCTTTCCTTTCAATATTTACTCAAAGAGGAGAGACCAGGTTGGTAGTAAATACTAGCCGCCAAATAAGCTTGAAAATTACATGTTAACTTTTTATTGCCTTGCACCGGAGGCTTGTGCGTCATTCAGTTTCTCTATGAACATCCTCGTCCAATGCGCTCTCCAGTGTTTGTAAGTCAAGGGCGTAGTCGGATCCGTTTGTGTGTTTGTTACCACCGTACTCAGATGAGTTATACTCGTCCTGTATTGTGGTAAATATCCATGACGCCCTAATTTTAAGGTTTTTAAGAACCTTAAAGAGAGAGGGAGCTGTCATGAAAAGTTCTTTTCCTGTCCTTTTATTAGCGTAAATACTTTTTGGGTTGGGTTTCTCACGACATTTCTTTTCTAAATAAGCGGACTTCCAAATCGCAAATGTGTCCTCGTTAACGGGGGTTAAAACTCCTTTAAGTTTTTCTCGCTAAATACACAGGAAGCCTTTTAATGTAGAGCATTCAGTGCGAAGGAACACTACCTCGAGTTCTACTAACTCCTCAATGCTGATCCCAAGTATCCGTTCGTCTTTGCTTTTATCCTTATTGAGTACATAGCCTGCAGGAAGAGTATGCTGGTATATACATGTTCTTCCTGCATGAACATAGCTCACAAACTAAAAGTTAATAATAGCAAAAGCAAGTACCATTGGGGACACTGCCATAAAGGGCCGAACAAACCTTTTTCGCAAGCTGTCAAGAAGTACTTGCAAATCTTTCAAACCAAAAAAATTTATTTACTTTTAGTAAATTAAAAGAAAACTCAAAGAATCGGATGAATTAAAAAAATCTGAATGCTTTTTGTTCTCGAAAAGAAAAAATGAACGAGACAATAGAAGTAGAGTTTTCTGACAGACCCGCTGGAATACTTCTTTGTTTAGGCTCTGAGAAATCTACCGACAAAAGTTTACTTAAAACAAAGTACAAAACATGGCGTAAAAATTAAACTTTAGACCTTTAGGCCAAAATTAACAAAAAAATTTTATTATAACATAATGACAAACTATCTTTAAAAGCTGACAGACTTCAACCAATAATATCAAATATTCTCACAAAGCAAACCTTTGAGCGACGACAAGTCATGAGAAAATTTACAGTTATCACCTTTCGCACAAAGGCCCCTTTTGTAAAGACTACAAACGACAGTCTTTTCAGTTTTAGCTTAAAAAAGTAATAATGAAAAGTAGATAAATAATATTTACTAAAAAGGACTTAAAAATGATCACCGGGGACGATAAGAGGTTTAAAAAAGGTATTTTTTCCTATTTTCTCATCAACTGACTTAGTTGCCTTCTGTTTATCTTCCTAATAATTTAAAAATGAAGCTAGAAAAAGATATAAAAGTCGCAGCAAAACTGTAAAAACCTAAAAAAATTAAAATTGAATTATCAGCTTCGGTTTTGGGCATGTACTAAAAGTAAAAAAACCTTCTTCATATAATTGCTTTTTGTGCTAGCTCTTAACTGTGATATAAACTTCTGTTGCTTTGCACCTAGTTTACAATTCTAAGTTTGTAAATAAAGATAATAACATATAACGGACCTTTTTTATTTTTAAGCCCAAAAGTTTTGTCTTCAACAACCTTTTGGGCCTTCTCCTGGGTTATACTGTGTTTCTTTGGAGGCATTAAAAATATATATATAACGAAGGAAAAAAAGATTAGTAAGGTAAGCCCTATGCGCTTGCATTTGTTGGCGTCTCGGAAGTACAATATTAAAATTAACCTCTCACGTGATCGCATATTACTTTTCACACTAAGGCCCCTTTAGATTTTCTCCTTTTTCGCCTTTGCTGAGACGTACTTTGCAGACCAATTTGCACACAAGGGTCGTTCTATACGCCAAAAGTGCAATAATTGACTCATTATACTTCCAGCACCAGTAGTTTAATCCGGGCAGGTTAGGTCTCACTGCGTGTAGTGATTTATTATATTAAAAAACCGAATTGCGCTTCCAGTGCTTTAAACTTAAATGAGTAACTTAGCTCGTCATGGACGCGTACGCTAAACATCCTCAGAAATGCGAGTTCAATTTTAGTTCATAAAGCAAAGCATGTACCGACCTCCCCAGTGGTGGTTTTTGGCAGCTACCTGACACGTCAAAGTGGGTATTAACTCTCTTGGAAGGAAATACAATAAGATAAAGCGTTGACCTCTTCGTAGGACGGAGCGTAGTAGCTTATTAGAGGGAAAAAAAAGAATATCTATCTTAAATTTGTCATCATTTATTGCCAAAGATTTTTCTGTAGGCTTTATTTATTCCTTTGCATACTGCTGACCAAAAATTAAGGGGAGTTTTAAAATTTAAAAGCTTTCTAAGGCGATGCCTTCGCGTAATTAACTCTTAAAATGTTATATCATTTTGAAATTTAAATTAATCAAATTGCTAAACGCTTATGATTATTGTGGTCAAGAAGAAACTGGTACGTTTCATTATACACGCTGGCTTTTATTGGGAATCATAACTATTTAAATAACTTTCTCTTAACTTTCAAAAAATAATTCGGAAAAAAATTAAAATTGTGTATTAATAAAGTGACCCCATTAATATAATATATAGCCCGAAAGGGATCATGAGACCATTTTATACTTAAGGGCAATGAGTGCTAGTGACTCTAAAAACCAGTTTTCTTTGGAGATGCTGTTTTATTTTATGCCCTTACAGGAGATGCCTGCTAGGGCAGTAAAGCGTTAACTTAATAACCGCAGAATTTAAAACTGCTTTCTTTTCTCTTAGCTATTCTAATTTTCTAATTTCTTATTAAAGATATACCATATTCTCACACTGTCTTTCATTGCACTTCTAAATATTCCTCATAGTTTAGTTCCGGCTAGGATGTTCGACGAATTCAAAATTCTTATTTTTCTTTCTTCACCCATAAGAGGTAAGTCTGCCTTTTTTTTTTATAAATCAATTATCCTTTTTCCCTTTATTTGAGAAAAAAAAATCAGTAACTCTTAAAGAATTTAGGGTATTTTTTTTAAAAACACTCGAACCTTTACAATAATTTTCTATCCCCACTACCTGTTACACCGGTTCCAGACCGCCACTCTGAGGAATATAAATTACTAAATTTGAAATTTACTATTAGTGGTCTATACGAGAAAATGATATTATTGTTATTATACAATGAAGTAAGGAGGTTTGTAAGGCTCAATTTTTTCTCCTTAAGGTAACTAGCACCGCCATTAATAGTTTATACTCTATAGGCTTCCCGGTAAAAAAGGAAAAGGCAGGCTAGAAAACTAAAAGGTTGCTGTCAGATTACCCACCACGCCAAAAAGTAAACGCTCACCTTAAAGGGAGAAGTAATCACTTATTACGAGCCCTAACAGTTATGGATTGTCCCGAACATTCAAAACTTGTGGTTCCCAATCTTTAAAAGCAGCGGACCGCCCAGGCATAAGTATGATGTGTCGCGAACCCCTTTATGAAAAAGACCTAATTGAAATTAGTTTATTAATTGTTACTTGTTAGAATTATGCAATGTTTTATGTGGAAAAAAAAGTGATTTTTGACTTGCAGTTTATTTACCAGTTGCGAAATTACGGGACTGGCACTGCTGTTCAAAGCTGCACGCATGTCGTCAGTAGCGGCCAACGATGCCTCTACTTGTTTTTGGTTAAACACAATTGGAAATTCCTCTTCGCACGAAAAAGTGGTTGAAAACATCACAAGATACAGCAAAGCGTTATCTCCAAGCTTATCATATGAGATTGCTTATGTGAACCAGGACTTTTTGAGGTTAATGCCTGCTTCGTACGTATCTTTGCAGTTGCTATCATTTTACGGTTCGGAATCCTTCTACACTAACACTGAAAGAGTTTCGAATTAATTTTAACAGCTTTTGTCTCGACGTCGTCCTATTTCAAAAATTACCTCGAAAACTCCTTTTAACTTCGCGGAGGTCACGTAAAGCATTTTTTTGAAGTTCGACTGTAATAAGGAATTTTTGTTGTCAATGAGCTAAATAATTTGTTGCTTCAGTTTTTTCTATCCGCAGCTCGAATTTGCAAATAAACGCGAAGTTTGTCTTCAAACACCATGTTTGCGCTACCCCCCAGTTTCGTTGTAGTTACATATAAAATGATATAGTGTTCAAAAACGTCTACAAGATCGGTTAGTCGTATCTCGCTAGAAAGCTGCTCCAACAAATCGGTGATTCCTTATTCGCTTAGCTCTTCTCACTGTTCATGATTTTCCCAACCTATTTCTTTCGAGAGTCAACGAGCCCCCTTAAGAAAAAAGGTAATATGTGCTTGGAGCCCTAATCAGAGCACAAAATTTTGAAAAACGCGTATTAAGTGAACTGTTTTTGACTGCTTTCACCAAAGTTATTGCCAGTTTCATGATGCCTGGCAACTATACTGGCAACGTTTTTGTCGCTAGTGCTGGGCAGTTATGCATACAGTGTGTCGTTACTGTTCTGCAACTTTTATTTCACCAATGTTGCAAGATCGGAGCGTGATCTTAGGATAACAGCTCCGCCTGTACAGAAGCAGCTAACTTTTTCGAAAGTACATCACGTTTTTCAACATAATTGCTTATTACTTTCATTACTTCCATTCCGTTTCCTGCAGTTAGAAGTTCTCTTATAATAGTTCTTCTTTGGCTGTGTTATCCTCGTCGAAATTAGAACAAAGATCAGTAATTGGCAACATTGTGTAATGTCAGTACTTTCGTTGCACTGAAAGGCAAATTAAGTGAATTTTTACTTCACTAAAAGTTATTCTTCAATATTGTACAACATTTTTTCTTTTACTATATTGTTCAATAGCGCAATTTCTTGATTTTTCTTTTTGGCCTGCTCACCTAAAACTTCTTCCGCCACTTATGACAGACAAGACATTACTTATCTTTCTCTAATCGTATGTCACTGCAAGTATAAAATTTATTAACGAGTTGTCTCTGGCTTAGCCCAGTTCTTATCGATGGCAGTACTGTTTTCCCTGGAGGCTCATATACTATTAAAATAAATTATTGGACAACTTTTAAACGTGGGCCAAAGTTTTAACAAGTATACATTTCATCCGTTAGAGCCAGGTATCGTCGATGCAGTCAATCATTGAGAATCAACAATCTAAAATGCTTATAATTAAGACTCAACTTCGAAGCCTTCTAGATCCTTTGACTTACTAATGTATCCCGCTATTATGCAGAAGATTAAAAGGAAACGGTTTTTTAAATTAGTATATATAAAGGCAAGCTAGTTAAGGATAAAAAAGCCTACAATAATTTTAATATTTTATCAATGAACAAATGGTAAAACTAAAAGCAACTTTGGAAACAAAAGCTAAAATGTTTACGTTCTATAGACTTGTATTGAAAATTTAATCCCTTCGACCCTTGACGCAATTTTTAAGTTATACCACTGATATACTATGACATAAATCTAACGTTTTTGCTCAAATCTTGCCTTCGTTTCGAGGGGGACCTTGGTTTAAGGCGACTTCTAACTACAAATTTAACAATCTTTATAATACTAGTTGCGAAGGAATTAGTTATATAATCAATTCGTTTAGGACCAAAAAGGTTATGGGACCAGAATTTACATCCTATAATGCTCAAACTATATACTACTAAGGCTACTGTCTATGTAAATGCGGTTTTTAATTCGATGTTAAGCATATCCTACTTTTTAAATCGTTCGAAGTTAGCAGAATTTGTTTTTATCCCAGAATAAAACCAGGAAACTTTTTTTAAGACCATCGACCCATATTACTATAAGACCGCGGTCACTGTGATACTCGCAAGATTGAAAGAAAAGGGCATTATTCCAAAGTGTCGATCAGGTTTCCGTAAAAAACAGTTGTCAACTTAACAGATTTTGAGACTTTCAGATTGTGGTACTAAAACCTTTAAAAATCGAAAATATGCAGCAATAGTAGTTTTAGACGTTGAGAAAGCCTTCAATAAAGTTTGACGCAGAGGAATTATCTATAAGAAGGCCAAGTTTAACTTTCCTAGGTCCTTACTTCAAAGGACAAAAAATTATTGGCAGCTTTTATAGAAACGGTTCATTCAAATCTGTTGGATTTTAAAGTTGAAGTTCTTCATGGATTATTTTCGTCGTCACTTCTATTCGCGGATTATATGGCAGACCTAACCAGATGGACAACCGTATTACTAGCCCAAAAAGAGCGGAACGCAGCTGTATTCTGCAGCTCTAAATCGATGGCCCAATTTTCAAAGTCATTAAAGAAATGTAGAATGCGTGTCTTCTTTTTTTTTTGTTATGGCTTGTTTAATGCCCAGTTCTTATACTTAACTGACTAGTTTTATAATAAAAAGCGTTTTAAGTCACATGGCAATAATATTTTCATTGGGAGCCGGGCTTAATAATTAGCCACTATCATTATCATACCCTCTCCCATTTCTCCTTGGTGTGTGCGAGCTTGAGTTGTACATTTATTAAGCATGTCTTCAGAACGCACCTTTATAATGATAAAGCCTGACGGTGTCCAACGCACTCTTGTTGGTGATATTATTCAGCGCTTTGAAAAGAAAGGTAACATATACTAATTATATATATAAGCGAATTAGAATTATCATTGTTTAATAGGATTAAAGCTTACTGCCTTAAAAATGTTTCAAGCCTCAATGGATCTTCTTAGACAACATTACAATGATTTATCCTCTAAAAGCTTTTTTGAAGATTTAATCAATTATATGTCTTCGGGACCACTTGTGTGCATGGTTTGGGAAGGTTTGAATGCTGTGAAGACAGGACGTCAGATGTTGGGGGAGACCGATCCGTTTAACTCTCTTCCGGGTAAAATATTTTTTTTATTATATAGGTAGACTCCCTATGATTAGTTTCTTCATGCACCACTCTGAAAGTTGTGTGGATAGTAAACCCATCTTAATTATGAGGGTTTTAATACAAAATTTTCTTTTTAAAAATATGACGTAGGGTGGGTTTTAAATAAGTATTATTACGCAGGTACAATAAGGGGGGACTATTGTCTTCATATTGGTCGCAACGTTTGTCATGGTTCTGACTCAATCGATTCAGCTGAAAAAGAAATATATTTGTGGTTTAAAAAAGATGAATTATGTCTTTGGAGCAAGACTACTGCTCAATGGTTGTACGAATAGCTTAAGTATTATTATATTATAATAAAAAAATATTCTTAGAAACCATTATCACGTCGAAATTTTTAGCCCTTGGATTTGTACTAGTAGATTTCGGGTAGCTTTACTTTTAACTTTAAAAGTTGTTACTATCAAAATTGAGTACGTTATTACTACCTGGCAACTTAATCATTTCTTGATACATTTATTACGGGTTCTATATATTTTTTTTGCCTAGCTTATGATTCCCAACTTTATGTCTAATAAAAGTTTGTACATAAGTTTCTGTTAGTTGCTCTGTGAGATTTTAGAAATTAAACAATTTAATTAGTTGTTAATCAGTGGGAGAGAAAATAGAAATATGGTAAGGGAATAAGTGCTATGGGTTAACAAGGTCCCGTTGATTATGTTCAATTATTTTTCTTTTCTTTAAATTTTCTTTAGATCTTTAGGGAGATGCTTACCACATTAAAAAAAAAAGTATTTTATCTTCTCTGACTTTAAAAGGACTGTCTGAAGGTAGAGGATAATAGGAAGTTTACAGCTGGTAAAGATTTTCTTGTTTACTTATCTTCGAATTCTATTAAAGCAATATACAACATAAGTTATAAAAGTAAAATTTAGTTAACGCAATTTTTAAATACGCTCATAACGGCCGTCTTTTTACTATTGTAGTAACGACTGTACTGCTACTTAGTATAGCACCGCATATCATCAATAACTACCGTGCTTCTATATAAAACGAATTCAAACATACTGCAATACTCTTGTAACCGCTTGCTCTACGAGTTTCTCATTCAATAACTGGAAGAGGCGCAGCCTTTATTATTGCTCGGGAACAGGGCGGCCAGCCGGTATGGGCGAAGCGATTACCGCTATGATTCTCTCTGAGTTCGCCTGGCGTCACTGCCAGATAAGATTTCCTTGTATAGCGGCTTTGTCGTTTACGCAGGTTTCCGGACTCCTTTCATGTAGTAAAGATAGTGAAACCCTTCGGCGCAACTTTTTTGTACATAAAACGGTTTCATCTAGTTTTTTAAATTGTTGATGTTCCTTTTCCATTTATGGTACTAAACTTAAATCGAGTCTTAATATAACAATATGATACTAACTACTGTTCACACAAACAAATTGAACTGAATAATATTTTTTATGTGGCTAAGGGGGGGGCATAGGTACATATGTTATGAGAAGTTTCCTTGCTACACCTTTCTCTATACATTATTTTTAGCGACTATCGCTTTTTACGTCCTTTTTTTCTAATGTGCTTGTCATTTATAGTGTAAACCTTCAAGATGTGGTGATTAGGGGCTAGGAGTGATAAGAGATTTTTAATATAAATTTTTTTTTTAATGAATATTACTCCCGTTGGTTAAACTCTGCTAAAGCATTGCTTTTCTAGCAAAAGGATAAGGCTTGGTGTTGGGGTAGTTTTTAACTTTTTAAGACTTATGAGTCCTTACAATTTAGCCCCCCGTTTCCTTTAATTATGTATCCCGGAAGTTCTGATATCCATCTTTGCAATTTTCGCGGATAGTAGATCGTTCTTGAATGCCCATGGTGCCTAGTTAATGATCGACTAACAATTGTTACTTGCTTTTCAAATTAGCATCCTGTTTTAAACCGTTTATTAGAAATCTTTTTGTTAAGTTTACGTACTGAAGTTAAACTGTGCTACGTGAAGGTGCAAAGACCCATTGACTTCTATATAATGTTTATTAATCCGATGTTTCTCAAAGGATGTTTTTCAATTGTTTAATATTTTCTAAAGTGAGGTGCGGATATACTCCCGAGTGAAGAGTGAGTTAATAAGCCTAACTCTATAAAGTTTTATAAGTCTGCCTTTCAAAAGAGAAGCACGTATGGCGAGTTTCAGTTTGCCGTATGCCGAACAAGCTTTACACAGTAGAGAAACTAGTAAAAAAAGCTTTTATTGCAACCCTTACTTTTGTAAATTTTATTCTTGTTATACTTGAATTATTTTTTTTTGTTATTTGTATTGTTAGTTAAATTGTCCAGATTAATAAGCACATCGTTTCAGATGTAAAAGAGAATTGCTAATATCCATTATCTAGTTTAAAGGGTAATTTAAGTAGTGTATTCTTCCAGTAAGACGTTCAGCTCCCGGTCTGTCCTACGAGCGCTAAAGTTGGTGAAGGCCGGTTACAATCTTATTTGAGAAGATCATTACTGATACACTGCTTACGCAGCCGAATTGTTAACTGGAATAGTCAGTTAAAAAGAGTAGTTGTACTATTTCACATGTTGTTTTATACTGTTGCTAAAATGTGTTTTTGCATAGCCTTTTTTTGTATTACGGTCTCTAATTCTTCTAGACAGTTTCTCATGTGCGTACGCGAGCTACTTAGTACTATTTGCTAAGGGTTCTAACTTTGTTTTTCAAAAAAGATATTGGGAAATCTTTGTCATAATAATATTTTTTTTGATGCCCATTTATTATAATTTAAGTTCTAACAGTTTTATAAGGGTTTTTTCAGTCCACGATACCTGGCCTTAGATAATATATGGTCGGCGTTAACAGTTGTTTAGCTAGTATTGCTAATAACGTGGACATATAATATATGAAAGTAAAAGTAAACAAATTAGTAATTAAAAGAAAAAAAGGGGGCTTTGGCATTGAAATTCATAAAACTGAGTATATAGAAAAGGAAAAAAAATATGTTTTTAAATATAGAAATTCAACTTTCTCACTAACTGTAAGCAAGTGGCGTTTAGTTAAAATTTAATGGCATGCGTTTTCATGAAGTGTTTTAAACGGTTTTAAATTTCAAAATTCGTAAAGCCTTAAAAAAGTATATGAACGATATATTTTTTCGAGGGTTAAGTGGCGAATTATAAAATTATTTGACGTACGTTTAATTTGCTTCGATTTAAATCGTGATTACGTGATAAAAATTTATTTTTTTTAAAGTTATTTTTAAATGTTAACACTACGAGAAATAAGAGTAACCCCCTAACCTTTAAGAAGAGTAACACTAAATGTAAGCAGAGTAAAAAAGTTTTAACCTAAGTGAGGGGTTGTATTAATATTTATACATAAAAAATTTATAAATATAATTATCATGGCAGGGGTTTTATTAATATTTATAAATAAAAAATTTATAAATATAATTATCATGGCTTCAGTGCATTTCAGTTGTAGCCACGCCAAATAATAATTGTTGTAAAAGGGATGACAATTGATTTTTAGAGCAAGATTTTAAGCACAAAGAACAAGCAGAAACACGACTACCTCTGGTTCACACAAAAGAAAACCATAATTTTTATATAGTAAAAAATTTAGTTGCAATGTGCTAAGATCTAGTATGCGTCCCTATCATTATTTCCGTTGAATATTACAATGTTGAATGCGACCAATGCCTTAATTAGTCTGCGCTCAACAGATTTTCAAGGATTTCCAACCTTAAAGTGAGCTTGAAGTGGGGGCGCTTGTTATCTAGCTTTCTCCTTACGCATTTTCTCTTTGGGTTACTTTTGCTTCTACATTTAAATTCCCAAGTTTTGTTTTTACTTTAAGATCTTTACGGTCTTTCCTTATTTCCACTTGTGCACAGCTTAGATATAGTTTTTGTGCATTACTCCCTCTTGCTCTAAGATCTTAGTCCTGTCTACTATGTTTGCTCCAAGTTAATTAGTTAACTTTTTTTTTCTTATTATTTATTTTAACTGAGATGTCCATCTTTGGGCGCTTATTTTAAAATTTTAGGATCTATCTCAATGTTCTTGGACTTGAATTGAATGTGCCAATTCAATCTCCCCTGTCGCGTAGATCTTAAGCTTAATCTATAACTTTGTATAAAGGTAATAGTAACAAAATAGGTACAGTTTTATTAGGCTATCTCCCACTCTATAAAGCCTCAAGCTGCTATCGGGGCGCTATATTACAGACATGTATACCGTATATATTATGGATAAAAATTTCTTTAATCTTTTATATATGGCAATTTAAAAACCTTTTGTAAACATTTTAGAATTGTAATATTTTTATCGTTTAGCCCCTTTTACTCTTTGGTGCTAGTTATAAGATTTTTACAAGCATTTCGTTTTGTTTTAAGTTCAAAATTTTCAACTCATCTCTATGGTGGATTTATCAACGGCGCATCGCCAACCCCACCTCCTTTCTTTATTTTTTATCCCTAGTACATATATTCGCGATAGAAGAAACTAACCTACAGACAACTTTTGTCTTTTGTAGCAGGCGCAGTCTTTATCGTCCACGTGTTTAAGAGTATTCTGCATGCAGCTAATATATTGGATCTCTTCACTCCGAATGTGTTCAGATTGTTTCCCAGGGTATTATTACGGTGCCTTCTTCAGTTAAGCTCTGAGGGTTGTACGCTGCTTCGGAAAGTTATCTGTATTTTAGTGCCCGGTGGAAAGCTCTGCCTTAAGTTCGTTCTGATTTTAATCCTGCGGTAGGTTCTAGATTACCTGTGTTACTCGAGGCTGCGTTATCCTGAAAACCTTGCTTCATTGAGTCCTGCTGACACTGTCCCAGATTCATCGACCTTAAGTAACTGGCTTTTTTTGTGGAATTTTCAAAATTCTAGCTTAAATCCTTTGATTTTTCTCCTTTGTGCATCGGTAATAGGAGTACGGTCATTCCTTATTCCCTACTCGAGCTAGGTACTGTTCCACAAAAAATAATTGAATAGGACCTTAGAAAGGGTGAAATATAACTTTTGTCCCTTTTTCATTCCACTTAGTAGAACACTTGAAAGAGCTGGCATTTCTAGGTTGCTAGTTCGTTATTTGTTTCTACTAAATCACTGTGCAAAGGTTAAAACAAGATCTAACTTGAGTGATTTCGAGCTAATTTAACCAACCTTAACTTTGGTAACCTAAAAGGAAGGACGAAGTAAGCTAAGGTGCCTTTCTTAAGGAGTAGATTAAGCTATATTGTTGAATTGAAATGAAACAAAAAATCAATCTAATGGTTCACCTTGGAACCTTTTAAAAAGTCCTAAAAACCTGTGTTTACTTTAAACTGTCAAGAAAACAGCAATAATAATTTAAAAGGGTTTCCTTATCCTACGCAAACCGACTTGTCAGGAAGGGATCATAGTCTTGATGCTACTAGCCTCATAAGAACTTGGTTTAAGTTATGTCACAAGGCTCTCATTCTGACTATCTTTCTGAAAATTTAAAGAGTCATTGTAACGCCCTACAGAGCAACATCGCAAATCTGTAACTTAAAAACTATTGACATTTAAAGAATATCGGTTGTACGTGAATACAATAAGTAACGATAATAAAAGGGAGCGGAGCGGGTACATATATAGTACTAGTACCTAGTATTTACTATAGCACAGACACTATTCGCTAGGCAAAGGCACCAAACAGTGCCAATACCATAGACAACGCGAAGCCCGCTCCGTACTAGCAAAAGGCACTAGCACAAGAGACAAGGAAAGCGCACTGAAGCCGCTCGAGGAAAACAAGCCAACTCCGGTGAGAGTGTCCATGCTATAACGCGAGGCGGCGCCTGCCACACCAGCGCGCTCTGGAAAGAGCGTAAATCTAGATCACATCACTCATCATAGAGCTCTTGTTGTAGCGGCGTTCGTCTTTGCTACTAACCGTAAACCATAGTAGTGTGCTCTATAACTTAGCAGCTTTCGTTAACTATTTATCTAGTGTTAAAGTTAACTACAACTGATCAGCTTAGGTAAATTAGATTGAAAACTTGCTTCAGCTGGCAATGCCAGTACTCAACGTCAAAAGATCAAACAAGTAAACAGTAGTTATCTGTTTGTGTGGTATTACTTGATACCTTTATAAAGTCATTAAACTTGCGAGCAATTCTCGTGACAGCAAAGTCAGCTAAACAGAGCACAAGTCGAATACAGATAAGGTAGAACCTGCCGAAGGACTCTATTTAACTTTAGGTTTTTGTCATTTTTAAGAGCAAGTCTTTCAACACGTGCGTCTCTAACATATAATTTGGTTAGCTATTGCAACCTGCGGCTCTCCTTGGTACAGTTCAGCTCATGATTCATAGCACAGCAAAGGAAGGCACCATAGTCACGATCCTAGGTTGTTTGATTAGTCAGATAACGAGTCCAAGCTTCAAAAAGGAAGCTAGCCATGTTGTTCTTAGGTTAACGTGGTGATCCGCCTAAGCAGAGGGCATGAAGGATAATCGCGGTCGTGACACCATCGGATAGTAGAGGGTGACATGACCCAAGCCAAGATTATCCTGTGACCCGCTGCCGTTTGTGCAGTACGCCTGGAATTTGGCTAAATAAGAAATTTAAAGCGAGCTGTAAAGTAGGAATCCATTCTGGTTTAAAAATACCTAAACCTCAAATCATATGTAATAACCAGTAATTATATTTATAAAGGGGACCCATGGTGATGCGAGTTCACTTCCATTAGCTTACTTACCTATAAGGTAAAAATGCCCAATGATCTTGGTACTAATCTAACCATGGATTAGGAAATAAAGTAGCATTAAAATTAATTAAATTTAGCTTTAAATAATTTATAGGTAAAAGTATTGAGTTGAAAACTCGAAGAATGTATTCAGTTCCACATTTAAACATAATCAAGGTGTCCAAGGACATACTAAGTTTTAAACGACATCCATGTCTTTGCCTCAAAGACTGATTAAAAATTACGGGTAATAACAATTTTTTAGCCTCAAAAGGAGCGATTTAAAACTAAATAAGAATTTAAAAACCCCCACTTAAAGAGCATGGTAATTAAGCTCCGTGCTAGTTCTTTTACGCATTGCCCCTGTACGTTTACTATTTTTATTCTCGCCTTTGTGCGGAGACTCGTAATGTACCTTTGCGGTGTGAGCGCAGCAAGTTAGCCTTTCGGCGCGATTCGATTTGGAAACTGTAAGTTAGTATATGCAGTGGAAACATTTTGTCGAGCGATTGGCTTTGACTTCGGACGTTGGCTCGAATCTTGTGAGCCTCGTGCCACCTTGCACACTCTTCATGGACGTAAGATTACTGTCCCTTCCCCATGTTCATCGTGGTAAAAGTGGTCAAAAAAGATTAACCCTATATATAAAATCCGTGTTTCCCTTCGCACCTATTCCTGAGAGCTGCCTGATGGTTTCGATCTAAAAAAAGGTAACAGGCCATCCTAAGATGGACTGCAACGTAAATGTAATGATACCTGTCTCGGGTCATGTCACCCTCTACTAACAATAAAGGTCTTACTTAACTCTTTGGCTAATGCAGGAAAACACAGGTTACTGTAATGCTTAAGACACCTCGTTGTCATTATGGTACCTTTCGGACTACAGCTATATCGTAAGGGTTTCGTTGTACTTGGAAAAGCTCTGGGGTCCGGTCGGATCGTATTGAAAAACATGCTTTAAAAAATGGTAAAAAGACGGTGGTGACTTAGCCATTCGCCAGGTGAAAAAAAATCTTCCCTGTAACATGCAACAAACTAGAATGGTTATTAACGTACCTTGTGCTTGATACCTTCGCGTTCATTAACTATTGTTTGAAACTTCATGTTGACTCTGTAGCTTCGAAAGCAAAGGGCTTAATAACCTTACGGAATTAGAAGCTTCGCGATGATACTACCATTACCTTCTGCAGCTATTCCTCTTTAGGCGTAGTGAATGAAGATCCGTCATAATAAACCACATCTAACATATACACAAAGTTGAAGAAAACAGGTAAGTTATGCAGTACAATACTTAACATCCGAACAATTAGGTTCGACCGAAAGCCATGTAGGAAAGAACTGTAGAATGAGAGATGACTAATAACACAAACCTTCCTGTCCGGAAACACTAGTATGACTAAAGATACAAAAGCAACATAACTTATTAGCTAAATGTACAGTCACAGTGCTAGAAACTATAGGATGGTGCCGCGAACTTAACTGTTTAGCTACTATGGTAGCTAGATAGTGTTATTAGCTAACTCTCTCTCTCTCTCTCTCTCTCTATATATATATATATACACGACGTTTGAATACTAGAACATTAATATCCTCTCTGGAACAACATAGATTGGATTGAAATCCCGGGAAATAACGTGCTTGTAACTGATATTGGGATTAACTTTAATAAACCATGTACTCATATCTCGTGGTGTTATTATACGACGTTTCCGTAACACTAGTTATCGCACGTGCTTTATGCTTGCCCCACATTTTTTATATTTCTTTCCTGAAGGTATAAATATCCTTCCTCAACGGGGGCGATATACCCTTCACACCTCATTTTCTCCGTCAGGTGAGTAACGCCTGGAAACATATAGGCAACTCCTTAATTCTTTAGGGCTAAAAGCTACCAAAATCTCAAAATAGTATGTAATTTAAGAAACTCCCGAACATTTTTAATTTTCCGAAAATTTCATAAATTTTAGGTATAAAAGCGGTACAAACCTAGAGCAAAGTAGATCTCTACCCTTTGTTTCTTTGCTTCACTCTATTGGCTATTGGGTCGGAGGTTAGGGGTCAAAATCCTGATTAAATTGAAAGAGTAATTGTGCGCGCTGGGGATTTTTTTTTGTTTGTCGGGTGGTGAGCGTTGTGCCACTCAAGCTGCTCAAGGGCAACCAAATTAACTATTTTTTGTTTTTAATATTAGCCTATTACTCTCATTTATTTATAAAATGTTAGTTTTGAAATTTTTAATGAAAAACTCGTCAATAAAAATTTATGATCAAGTTACTAGTAGGGCTACCACGATATGGAGGGTTTCAACATTTGATTACTGTTAGGACTATTATTATTATTTTAAAAGCTTAAAAGTAAGAAACTATGTTAAAAAGGCGGAAAACCACGTTAGATGACAAGTATTTTTATTAATTATGTTGTTACTTGATTAAAAGGACAAAAGCTGTAAAAAAATAGGAAAATAAAGTTTCATTTTTAGACTATATTTTTCTAATTAAAGAAACCTCGATCCTTTGTTCCTGACTGATATTCTAACTATAACCTATATATATTAAATGTTAAATATAACCTATATATATATTAAATGTTAAATAGATTAAAAAAGTTTCACATAGCACTTAAGTGAAATTGAAAAGAATTTATAAAAGCTTTCACACGATTTTAAAAAATTGTTTAAACTTAGTGTAACTCTAAAAGTTTTACTTTTTTACTTATATATCAATATAGCCTTATGATATAGGCAAAATGATTAAAATTTAATACATAAAATCTTAAAATAAATAAAGCAAGAATAGTAACAACCTACGATTTCACTTTAACATTTTAAAGTTATATTTTCATCTTCCAAATTCAATAGCTTTAAAATAAATTATGATTGGTTTATCTAATAAAGATGACAAGCCAAAATTTACTTCAGTAAGTAGTAAATGCTCCTTGGAAATCAGAAGTTGCGTTATTTCGAAATTAATGCTAGAGGAAAATCCGCTTGTACCTAGTTACTTTACTTAAAGGTTAAATTTCATAATAAATGTTTACTAAGCGAAGTGTAGTAAAGAACCATTTTTAGAAGTTTTAATTAATTATAAATTTTGAACCGTCTTCCTCTCTGTTACAGGGAAGATTATCAAGTTTACATCAAAGAATTTTTAGTTTATCAAACTTCATATATACTTTTATTTCTTATATTGAAAAACTTGAAACTTTAAGGAAAAGTTTTATACTTAGAATAGCTTTATAACCATTTTTTTAAAAAACGAGATCACCTAATAAAAGGCGCCGGTACACCTAATATTGCGGTTTTTTACCGAGCTTGTTCTCAGACTTTTAAGTTATATTACTAGTGTTAGTTGTATTTAATATGTTATTTTTAATTCTTTTACTAGTCTAGATTTTTAAAAATTTACTGAGCTGAGTGTATAAAAAACTCGTCTTCTCTTGTGGAAGTTTAGCTGAGAAAAACAGCAATGATAGCTTTAGGAAAGAATGAAGATTCTCATCAACAGAAAATAGCAAAGAAAGCTGACGTTTTCCTTTGTGCAAAAGATCAGAAGCGTCAATTTACGGCTTTGCTATCTTTTTTAGGTCAAAATTTTTATTTGCATTATCGAGAGATAGTTACCTCAACTCAGAATTTTTTTTTCTCAACCTTTTTAAAGTAGCTCACTTTTTTGTGTTGAAATAATCTTTTGCATAAAGTGACCATCCAACTTTTTGGAATTGATAATAATTTGTTGAACTTTGGTAAACTTAGAGTTGGCGGATGAGAAACAAGTTAAAACGTTCTTTGACAACTACTTTTCTCGGATTTTTGGTTGTATTTACGATGCCTTCATAACTTGTGAGGCAGCTTGCAGGCTAAGAGGTTCGTTTAAATATTATAAATCCTAAAGAGCTTCTCTAAATTTGAAAGGAGACCTATTAACTCCCTTTTTTTTTAACCCACTCGGATAAGTAGATAGCAAAGTTTAATTTTATCTTTTCATTTAAGAATTACCAGGTGAAAATAATTTTTTTATATAACCCAAGTTTTTAAGGATAAAGAAATCGGACAAGACTTGCTTAAAGAATTAGAGGAAATTTTAAATGTTTTTGAGCTTGTGCTTTTAAATTTAAAAACACTTACTGGACGCCTTTGGCAGTACCACAGCTTTTGTAATTATTGATGCTTAGTTCCAAATGGTTTATGAGCTAAATAAAATTAAACAGACAATGTCATCCGAAAATTGACTCTTCCCGGCACTGCGTCAGAATGGAGACTTAAAGGTCTTCGATTATTGTGGATGTGGCTATGTTGTACAGGTTACATTTTCCTTATCTTTGTAAACTTATTACTTAAAGCTTTCTTTATAAGGAAATGCTACGCCCAAGGAGTCAATAGAGTTATTTATTGAAACTGTTCCATTGTTCGAGTCAATTAAGAATGGTTTTTAATTTTATAATTTTCTTTATAAATTTGTTTGGACACGTACAAGTTGAAATCGTAGTCACTCAGTTCATCTTCCATTCAAGTTTATACTTAAACTGTACTGTGGGCATATGAAGGCACTTCATAAAAATTCGGTGCACTAAACGTCTTTAAAGCAAAAATATTTTGTGCTACGGGCAATTATTATAGCCTTGGAAGTTATTAGCCATGCGCTGCTGTTATGTTATCGCTTATCGTCCCTTGTTTACTCGTGCACTGTCTAGTCAATTCTTTAAACACGAGTACAATAACTTAATAGAAAAAGTTCTGGTTCATTATTTATTAATTCTTCTAGGGTTTACTATTTTTGTTTAAGTTGGCTTAAGCTAATGCAGTAAATTTATAAATCTAGGGAGTATATATTATCTTAATGTAAATATGGATAGTTGTTACTGGTGGACACTGACTTTTTCGCTTGCTGGTCGCTGTCCAAATAAGAATTTTTTATGAGGAAATTCTAAGTATAACATTTATTTACAACATTAATAATTCTTTGGAAATCGTGCAAAGATGATAATACTCTGCTTTTCGTATTTATGGTCATATACATTTCGTCATACTTTATTTTTCTTGTCATTCATAATTTTTTTGACTAACTATTTTTGTTTAGAAAGTTTAGAATTGGAGGCATTTCTCCCTGCAGGTTCCTCTAAAGTTGATTCTCACTTAAAAGTTATTACTGAAACAATATCACACTTCTTTGAGTATTGCGACTCCTTGATCAATTCTGACCAAGGTACCTTACAATAAGAGAAAGTTATTCATAACTTTGACTGTAATACAGTTGTTTTTAGTAAATATTACAAGGCAGTTATAATAATAAATTTATTTACTTTTGTACTAATTATATATTTGTAAGTTTAATAAATACACTAAAGTTTGACTTTAAATGTATATTCGGAACACCAATTATATTAATTAGCTTTGTCACTGAAGCTCAACGTTGTTAAAATTTTACTCACAAAAAAAAAAAAAACATAAAAGAGTCGAGACTGCAACAAATAAGAAAACTTTTTTCCTACGTTTTTAATTTAATTGAATAAAATTAAAATGTTATCATATAAAAATTATAGCTGCTTATACGTTCCTGATGTCTTTGTTTACTAAACACCATTTATCGCGTCTTTACGGCGACATCTCTAAAGGTTGCGGTCTTCTGCCCGAAAAGTTCGGTACCATATTTTCTATTCTCACTGCAGCTTTAAAGTTTATCAACACTTTTATACCATTAACCTCCAAGAAAAAGAGTGCTTTTCGACTTGCCCCGTTGCAATAAACCTCATACTCGCTAAATACTTCTGTAAACTAAAAGATGAAGAGTATGTGCATTGCAAATTGCTTCCTGCCGTATTTACAACGGTATACTAACTACCATTAAAAATATTGTAATGATATCTTACGAAAATGCAAAAGTCTAAACAGACCATGTCATTGCTGAATGCAATACTTCGTCAAATTTTACTTTCCTCCCCGCCTAATGAGGAAAATACTTATGACTTCGGCTTTCCGCTTTTAGTGTATTCACGGTAAAAGTTATATATAATTACGAGAAAATTACTTTTCACTTTTTAATTTAGGTGGAGCCTTGCGAATTCTCCGGATCCTTTTAACTTTGAAAGCGCAGATGACGATGAGGACCAGTTTGTCACGTCATTTGATACAGTTAGAATTTATATTCATAATAAATAAATACTTGCGTTATTTGCGCTCTCTTTCTTTAGTTAGCTTCGTAAATTTGATTGGCTGATACTTTGTATATAAACTAAATTTGAAACCGCCACTTTTTATTGTTTATAAATTTTATTAAGGACTCCCTTTCTTTCTGGACTAACTACACCCGTCAAGGACAACTAAGAATCTACATTCAGAACGCCATGGATGTGTTTATTACGATATATGAAACTGAGCACGTCAAGCAACAGGTAAACTAAAGACAAGAAGGGAGTAAATATCACACTTTATTCCAGGAAGCATGGGTTTTCCGAGAGTTTTACACCTCACGAATCTCTCATACAAAAGGTGCGGGTTTGCTTGGACTCACTCTCTTTCATAAAAGCCATTGCAGCAGGACATGGCTCTGAAGACAATAAAAAACGAACAGCTTGCTCTAAGAAAACCTGGTTCTCCTATAAATTCATTTCTCTTTCTGTTGATTGGCTTATATAGCTATAGATGGTTTTTGTATGCATATTTTTACATACACTAGCAGTAACTATAGGAAACCGTAATAATATAATAAAATAAACTCCAATAACTTATTAAAAATACACGTCTCCAAGTGCTTCATTGCCAATTTTACGCAACGCCCGCTGAATATATTATATACACCCGCAAAATCTTCATTAGGCTTATTTCTCCCTCGCGAACTTAAATTTTATTTTTTAAATATCCAGGGCGTTCATGCAACTAAAGTTACTAGAAGTGGTCGAATGTTTATATAAAGAACACATCTCGGAAAAGCAAACTGCCAACCAACCTTTGGCCACGTTTATCGTTCGACCGATCATGGAGGTTCATTAATATTCTCTATGTTAACTGTACTTTTTTTATTGTTTTTTATTTCTTTATATCCTTTTTTGTTGGACTTTGTATATCATTAATTTTTTTGTATAAATTGGCTCCTATCATCGTTATTATTATGATATCTTTAATGAGCCTTCTTTTCTGTCCGCTTTTACTTGAAGTGTAGATCTCTATTTTATATCTTCATGTTTTCAAGACGTTAAAGGTTTTACTTTTTCTAGACTTTATTTGTCGTGTTTATTCTGTCCAATGTGAATAATCCAAATCCATCGAGCTTTTGGTTGTTATTCACTAGTACGATTTCCAAGTGTCTTCTTTGGAAGGATTTTGTACTCGGCTGGAAGGTTTCGTCACCAGTTGATAATTATGTTCTTTTGTTAAAAGGAAAATACAATCTTAACTTTTATAAATTTCGCAAAAATAAAGTGCTGTAAAGTAGTAACCACTTCGATGACTGTTATATTCCGCCAAATACTCCATTTTTCATATGTTTAGAAATGCATGCACGTGTTGAGCCAACTGCTTTCGTTGCATGTGTTTAAAATTGACCAGCGAAATTTGCCTTCCAAACTATATTTAACAAGGAAGGATCGTTTTCGAAACGCGCCAAGTAGTGTTACTTTCTTTAACTCGAACTAGATTTAATTTTTTTTCGGACAGCAGATGAAGGTCCCAAGGATGGCACTACCATTTCTCAGTTAGTATTCTACGTTTTCCAAGCTACTACTGTTTATTAATATAAGAAACAAAAGAATTATATAAATATATAAAGTAAATAGACAATAGCATTGCAACAACATAACCAAATGATAGTATAAAAGATTACTCGAGTTTAACAGTTACAGTCGACCGTTTTGTATCTCATTTAAACTTTAATCACAAAAAACTTTTTTTTCATTAATATAGAAGTGCTTTGAAAAGCAACGCCTCTTCTCTTCCGGTAAGAAACTTATGAAAGAGTTTGCTTTCTTGAGAAACATTAGGAATGTCCATCAATACATATTTTATTCAGCCGGAAGTAAAAAGTGAGGAGAATGTTGCTTTTGCATCTTTTAATGATCTGGAAGACTCTTCGATTCCATGGACTCCGCAAATTGTTTACTTTATTTGGAAGAATATTCTTACGTAACTTTTGTAAATAGTTAATAGTAACTATTCTTACTCAATAAAGAAATGAGTTAATATTTTATTAATATGAAAAATGTTTGTTTCGATATTGTTATGCGTTAGTTGCTTGGGCAACATTAACGACTTAAATGATCCCTTCTGCTTCTCCGTTGCATTGGACTGTCTAAGTGAAACGCACGAACTGTTGAAGTGTATAGAAGCCAATCAGGTTTTCTAGAAGTCGGTTTTAAGTTTTATAGAAAGTCATTAAAAAATGTTATAAACTCGTGATATATATTTATAATATAACGAAGTAAGAATTTATTAAATCTATACCACAAAACTCTAATTTTACTTGTTATTATATTTATTATTTATCCTTTTTCAGGGGATTCAAACTGAACACGACACAAAAGTTCCTATAGTCCAGACGAAAATTCCGCTTTACTTTTTTTTTTCATGGGTCGTCCAAGCTTCCAACAAGCCCGACTCCTTTAAAACAGGCATCTCTCTGCTGCTGCTCTTATCTATCTATCGCATTCCGTTATATATACTATTGTACTCACTTAGTAAAGCCTCTTGTCTGCTTGAGTTTTTACAGTTAAAGTACATTTACTATTAAAATTAAGCGGTATATAAAAATTTTTTATACAGATTTTGAAATTTTCTTATATATTCATTACAAACTTTGAGGAGTAAAGTATATAACCACTATACATAGAGCGCTCTTTACTTTTCTTTGTTTACTAAATAATGATGTTTATAAGGGCAGAACGTATAAGTATTCGAATCTTTAACCATATGGCGTATTTCAAAGGCATTAATTAATTTACCAATCACAATCATTCAGTAAATCTTAAGCTTAAAGAATTATATATTCGAATTTTTTGACGTCAAAAGTCATTCTATTTTTTGAGTGACTTAGGAAAACTCACCGCTCTTCGACTTATGTGCCAAATGGTGGTACGCCGCCATTATTTGTCTTCAGAGGTACGCTAGTCTCTACATTACTTTTATTTCTTCCTTATTTTTACTGACAGATCACTCCAACAATTTTACAACACTTTTATCGTGTGCTAATGAAGATGTTACTTTTTACGGACCCCGATTTCGTGAGCACCGCAACCATTGGATGCGCTGTAATTTCCTTTAACTTAATTATTTCTGTGATAAAATTTAACAATTTAACTCTAAGTATTTCTGGTGTAACGTACTTATAATTTCTTAAAAATTCTACTCCTCATATATTTCTTTATGTGTAGTAAGCATATCTTTATAAGAAACATGATTTCTGCCGTCTTTTTTAACTGAAAATACATGCAAATTTTTTATTTTAAAATGTTTCAACGTTTGTTTATTTTATATCGTGAGGAGACTACTTGGATGCAACTTTTCGTTATTCTTTTTTATATTATTATTATATAGTTTGCCATTTTACATAAAGCTCAACATTTTGTGTATAAATTGCTCTACTGACTCTTACCATATTCTATATCCCCTCATGTTACTGTATATTTCTCCATAAACCATCAAATTCTATACGGCACTGTAGTAGTTTAACATTATTTTAATGAGAACATCTTCACTATTCCTTTGCCCGGCTGCAACCTCGTGCTCTTTCCGTTACTTGAAAAAGTAGAAGCACTGTTAAGCGAGCCAACTCTTCCTATTTCAGTCCGTTCAGCTTGTATGGAAATTCTTTCGTCCCTAATTGGTTATTATCCTTTCACTCACACTAATATCGGGGAATATTTTTTGTTAGCAAGCATTCATCAATAAATGGTGACTTATTTATATTATTTTTGACATGTTTGTGAACAGGAATATCTCATGACCCGTCGGAAGCCGCTTTTTTTGAACTTCAAACGTTGTATGAGTTTTTACTACTAACTGTTAAGCTTATGAGCAATATAGCCATTTGGATCTTATAAACATACCGAGAGACATTCCCTACATTTTCTTCTTTATCAGCAAAAACAAAACTACTTGTGTGAAAGTTAGCTTTCTTACTCTATTGCGCACACACTCGAATTATGCAGAGAAAAACTTTTTCTTTTTAACTTTTTCTGTACCCAAACTTAAAACAGTTTATAAATAAGCTTGCAAACGAGTTGTTACGTTAACACAAGATCACTAACATTTCTTAACATGTTTTGGGTAATAACAGTTCAGACCATGAAAAAAATCACGTGCTTTCCGACTGCAAACTTGCTAGCTTGGACCATTCTTCAGCCTCTCATCTTATTTTTGTACGTCTTCGCTAATCCTTCTTTTTTTTTTATAACACTCAGCAGCACTGTAAGCTAATAGTTTTTAAAAAGCAAAGAATAGTTTTACGGAGTTTCCAAACTATTAGTCGCTATTACATGTAACTAATGAACAAGCAATATATGCTATGCGTGGTTACTAAATTTTAACAAGTATGATAATCATAGAGACGAGTATTTGGCGTACTAAAGCTGCTCTGTTCCTCTTCTAACCCTCATAACTTGCAAGGTTCCATCATACTTGAACTTTTTTATTTCATATTTTTATCTTTTTTATATGTATGAAAAAAGTTTATTAGAAAAACATACAACAATAAGACCAGTAATAACTCGGTCATAACTGCTATTAATATTTGATAAATGCTAAAATCTTTTTAAAAAATATTCTGAAACGTCATATGGCCTGCTGGCTGTTCATCGGTTTTTGCTGGGTGCGATATAAAGGAGCGTGGGCATGTAGTGGCACATAATACCACGTGATCATATCACGTGATGAGGGGACGAGACAAAAATTCCTCAAGTTTTTCCTCCTCGTTCGTGTTTATATGTATATATTTCTTATACTTTCCGGCTGAAGAAGGAAAAGTATTTTTCTTATATGGTTTGTGTAACTGATAACTCATAAATATATAAGCTGAACTATAGCCATACTAGAATGAAATTTTTTAGATTTCATGCGTATAACTTTAATATATTCATAATATAAATCAAAGTAGAAAAATAACGACTACTATAATGAAGGAATAGTTATATATTATTTACAAATAATTATCTACTTTACAATTAAATTACTTATTTACAACGTTATCGTTTTTATTTTTTATATTTTTTAAGAATTATTAACTTTTTTTTACTAAAGGACAAGCCATCCACATTATGGGGATGCTTATCTACTTCAACACAAAAAAAAGCGATACGTATGTTTATAGCACTTTTCTACCTTCCAGTATCCTCCATTGGCTTTTTATAAAAGATCTCTTTTAAGCTAATTATTTGAGTTTACCAATAAACTTTAATTTATTTGCTGAACCACGCGTAGCTGCTTGCTATTAAAAGAACAGTTTTTTGTGGAGCTTCTTGCTTCAACTTTCGTACTGATACGGAGCAAAAGTTCTTCCGTTTATTCCGCTGCAATAAACATCATCAATCTATTTTCCCAACACGTGAGTATGCAATTTATTTAATGAATTAGTTTATTATCAATCAAGTAAAGAATTATACATTTATATAAAAATTTCCCATCTTCTGTGCAGGAGTGCTTTTGTTATCAATTTAGTTTACTCAAAAACTTATTTAGAGTCAAAACTATTTAAAAGGCAATCATTTTTCGTGTAAAAAGTAAATAGCTATAATGTATAGTTTCCGGTTCTTGTTTAAAGTTAATCCATATGAAAACAATGCATGTTCCCTAGGATATACATATACGCTCCACTAGTAATCAAAGCTTGTGAGCTCTTAGGTTGTGCCTAACATTCTTTTTTGAAAAGATCTTACACGCGCGCTATAAACACGAAAAAGAAACTCCGCATGAAGTCACGAAAGCGCCCACTGTACCGCCTTGGTTGGACCTGACTGGCTTCATTGTAATGAATGAATTATCGGATGTTCTACTTGAATCGGTTATGAAAACCAATGAAAAGGAGAGTTTAGAGGGCGTGGAGAAGAAGGTGCTGCCATGTCCGAATAAATTTGTGTTGTTGGGGTTTTATAAGTAGTCTAGAATAACAAAATAACACTACTTCTATGCCTTTTTTTATTTAGTAGCGCACGTGCGAAATTACACAAATACCAAATATATATATAATTTTTTTTGTGCATAAGTTTAACTGTTGTGTGGCACGTCGCTCTAATGTACGCTCTACCGTAATAGCGTATACTATAACCTTTATACTACATTTTAGTTTATTAATTAAGGCTGGGATCGTTTTATTATCTACAGCTTAAAATGCTCCTGATATGTTCCTTAAACTGGATGATGGCCTTCCCTCCGAATTACTTCGATCAGTCTAACAACATCTCAAAGTTTTGCTGTATTCTGAAAATTCTTATTTACGAAAGTATAGTCGATCTTTCCTTGGTACATTACTGAAAGTTTTTTTTATTTGAAGTTTAAAACAAACTTTTTACTCGCTTGTATAAAATATAATAGTTTTTCATTATGAAACATACACTTGTAAGTGTAAGGCGGTTACTACTCCCTAGAAACTTTTTTATTAAGCACTATCACCTTATAAAAAAGAGGGGGTGGGGAACCAAAAGAATCACCTCACTTTATATTATTAGTACAGTTTATGTTATTCGACCCATAGCGCTGCGGAGTGACAGAGCGTTTGGTGGGTATTTTACGAGTTTTAGTAAGTATAATTACCCTATGTATTCGCTTAATCATGGGCAAAGAGTTAATTTCTGTCTTAATCTGTTAATTATTACGTTGATTTACAACTGATTACTTTTTCATGGGCCGTGCATAATGCTCTCTTTATAAAACGTTATATAAATTTTTTTTGGGTTTACGTTATCTTTTTTTAGGAGAGGTTATTTGTTGATCTCAAAATAAAACAGGAGTCTGGCTTGGATGCCGCGCTCATTAATCGAGCAATCAGAGGTGATATACTGGACCTTCTTACTACAAAATCATTACTATATCATCAGCTATTTAGTTTTTTTTATTAAAACTAATATTTGTAACAATCACGCTAAAAGGCCTACAGTAAAAGTATCAGCTGTTGTTGTCCCCCTTTACCGAGATGCTCGGGGAAAGCCTGCTTTCATTGTCTTTTATTAATAAACTCAATAGCTACTCCGACTAGTAGTGAACATTGGGATGGGTATGAGCTTGAACGGCAGTGGGCGGAAGTGGAGTTGTAAAGCGGAGACCATCCGTTCAATATCTTGCTTATTCACTGGCTATTCTATATTTTGGAAAAGGAAGAACTGAAAAAGTCATTTTAATTAATTACTTTTCCAACGATTATAGAATGCCAATAGTGTAAATATAGTATAAATGAATGGGACACTGAGCATTACGACAATTTAGTATTTTTTTTACTTGCTATTCAACAGTACTATAAAAATAATGAAATGAAGAATTCTTATTAATTGAAATTACTTATTAAAATATATAGTAGAGAAAAGTTTTTCTTATAAACTTATCTATTCCACTAAAATTTTCGTTATCTCTACTTTTATTTTGTTTGCAGCGTTAACTGCAGCTCCTGACGTTACCACCCTTTTTCATCGGCTTGGCAATGAGCCTTTCTATAAAGGTGAGTTTGCCACAACCTGCAAAACAAGCTATATTTATATAATAGTCTTAAAAAAATGTAAAGAACATAATTATCCTCAATGCTTGTGGTATCGTAACCAATAGTAAATAGTTCATTTAGCATGTGTAGTGTTAAGATTGATCTATAGTGAACTGGCGTCTTTGAATCTTATATTGTATCATTTCGTCAGTCTCCGAGGAAGTTAAGGTGACGGCCAAGTATATTATGCACCACATGTGGAATAACCTCAACAATTATCCTCCACATTCTGGAGTCACCTGCATCACGAGCATAGTATTATAAACATGAAAGGTTTTCCCTTTTCCTCATTTCTGGTCGTAGCTAGTGGAGATGGCCTCGCCCGAGGATCCTTCAGAATTTGACCCAAAAATCTTAACAAACCCCAACATTCAGTTCTTTGTTTATGGGCCTTCAACAAGTATTTCCTTAGTTATAAGGCTTATATAAAGCTAATAGTCTAATTATTGTGCAGTACTTTCTTTTGTAGAACAACCGTCCGACGTTGCTCTTCACGAAAAAGGGTTGCACAGAAGTTCTTCTCAACTTTTCGTGCGAAATTTATTTGGTAAGTACTCGTGGGAATGTCAATTTTCGTACCGAGAGACTTGCCCGCAAGAGGAACGATTTAACAAAGCACAGGAAAAACTTAATGGGGCGGTAATGTATGAACTTCGCCGCCTTTGCTTGATACTAATAGCCATATAAAGTTGTTTATTGGTTGATAAATGGTGTTCACGCAACTATTTACATCTTATTTGTAAGGCAGTTTTACTCACAGAAAAAAGGTAACTTATCGTTAGTAGGACAACGAGCCGGTAGAAAAAAAAGAGGAGTCTTCGGCGCCTTCCGGAGAATCCGAGCGTCCTCCTAGAAGAAAGAAACGTACCAAAGGTTGTTATTTCGTCAATCAATTGCACCATTAGATTTTACTACCCGTGGATAGTTCCAACCTACAAGAACTTTACTGACAGCGGCGGCGTAGACATTCTTGGCGCTCTACTTGAATACATAGGAGATACAGGCCCCGAAGTTTTAAAAGGTATTCCTACTTATACTACTTACTTAGTAATTTTTGTTATTTTAATATTAATATTTCGAAGTTTTCTCCTGTTTATTCTGTATACTTTAAATAATAGAAGAGAAAACTTTCCTAAATTCACCAGCAAAAGTCCCAGAGTTTATGAGTCTAGTCGCACCGGTTGCTATGGATCTTATACAAGAGAAAAGTCTTTTAAAAGAAAACATTAGCAAAGAAAGTTTTACTCCATCAATGTACTGATGCCATCAATAATAGTGAATAGAGATGAAAACGAAAATAAATATATTGATGAATCTTAACAGTCTCTAAGCTTTTATTTATAGTTGGGACAGCCCGAATTCCGCTCAGCAGACATTAGCAAAGGGCCATACTCGGTTCCAGATGTCACGTGCGCTATTGTGGCATGCAAATTTCATACTTTCCTATCTTTTTTTATCTTACTAGAAGTTATTATATAAATGATAACAAATTTTTGCTGATCTGATAATTATTTTTCTTTCTTTTATTAATATATTTTAAGAAAAATTTTCAAATACTAGTAAAGGAAAAAAGAGTATTTAGCCTTGTGTTATATACGTGGATTTAGGAATTTCTATTTAACTTTTTATAAGGGCTTCATTGATTGCGCTTTAATTATCTATTAGAAATTTTTTTAAAAAAAAAAAAAAATTAAATGAACTTTTAAATACTTGTTTACACTTTAGCGAATTTTGGTAACGAGTAATTTCTTTTCTAAATTATTGAAGAGCTCTACGAATTTATAAACACTTTCAGTTTTTGCTAGAAATTCATGATGTGTTGTTTTCATTGTTAAAGCAGAGTAACAGTTTAGTTTGTGTATTCTCCTCTGTTCAATATTATAAATTGTATAAGCTGATGATATCAGATTAGCGGTTGATGTATTTGTATCGCTGTTGTTAAAGCTGAAGATTAATGTTTACTTACTACCAATTGTCTCTATTTATTTCTGTTTTATTAGTATGTGCACCACTTTTTCTATTATTATCATTATTATAGTCGTATGGGCTTCTTGTCTTATGAAAACCGCCAGCATTTTTTCTTACTTGAAAAAAATGAAGGTCTTCTACGCCGCTTAAGACAGTTGGACCGCACAGGAAGGTTTATTGCTGCTCAACCTTTGATAGTAGTCAGTAATTAAAAGCGAAATGAAACAATTAATATTATTCTCAATTGAATCTAATTTTCGAATAATTATTTAAGTAATATTAATATTTAATCAATAAATAATTATTATTTATATATAACTAATAATTTCAAATAATTATGATGTAATCAAAACTATTAAAATATTATTATTAGAATTAAGAGTTCCTTCGTGTTCATCAATAATCATTTATTTATTATAAGCCGGGAGACGCACAAAATCGGCGTTATGTATATTGCGCCTGGGCAAGAGCATGAAACGTTAATTTTAAACAATCAAGCTGGAAGTAAACTTTATGAAAACTTTCTAGCGTCCATCGGCTGGGAAGTTGAGCTGGAGACTCATAAAGGTTTCTTGGCGATAGTATCAAATCCGGCTTACAGTAGTACATTTTTAATAGGCTTCAACGGCTTTCTGGATCCCAAATCCAACGGGGAGACGACTGTTTACTACGCAAATTCAAGTATATAATACATTTTTTTCATACTTATTTTTCACTTCTTCTACTACTAATGTGTTAAGTCTTGTCATTTCATAATTAAGCATTATATACTATAAACATTTTTATAATGGGGAAAGTTGTGGAGATGGTATTTCACGTGGCGACCAGAATGCCCACTGAAGAAAACTTTTCGGTAACCAAAAAAAAGGTTGCGCTATTATTCTTAAAACCGGAGCTAAATGTTTTGAAACTCCCGTCTTGTATTTTAATATTTACTCTCTTTTTAATTTTTATGGCCCACACGACGTCTTGAATGGTATCTAATGTTTTCTCTTTTGCTCGTAACATCTTATGTCGTAGAATACACTTTTCTACGAAAGTTTATGTTTCACAATATTTTTTTTTGGTGTTAAGTTATAATTTTCGTTACATTTATTTATCAGTAATTTATACAATTTTTTCTTACTGTAGAGGCACATCCACAACGATCGTGTCCAAATAATATGGACCGAGCACTGGAGAGACTTTCACCCGGACATAATGAGAACCGAATTTAAAGATGCTCTCATCGTCATCAGACCATTACTGAACGGCTTGTTTGCTGTTAATATTTTAAAAGCCGAGGAGGTATTTTATATTGCGTTTCAATGTTAGCCCTTAAAAAAGTTTATTATTATTGTCTTGAAAGGAATATTACGTTTTGCACAAAAGTTAACATTGAATAGTTAAGAGCGCTTTGCCAATATATTAAAAGTTTACTATTTTTTCCAAAAAATGTAACCATTATATTATTAAGTAACTTGTAAAGATGTACTAAAAGATGTTTGTATAAAAGTAAAAAAATATCTAAAAGTGAATAATAACAAAAAATTATTTTACAAACACCATAGTGGAAAAGCCCGATGAAGTTTCACGTAGTGGTAAAGTATTTTACTAATAAATACTAAAAATAATAAACTTATTATAAATAGGGAATACTTAGAATAAATATAAAAGTAAAAAACCCAAACAGCAGTAATTACCAGCTTGAATAGCGTAATTAGCCTCCCAATCAAAAATAACATTAATGAGCTTAGTTAAAAGTAAACAATAACAGTCATTGGTTCATATTCGAAAGTATCTAAAAATAGTGAACTAAAGTTTTAAGACAATTTTTAGTAGAGTGATACTCAATGCAGTGGACTACATGTTGTAGAATTAAATTTAGCCCATAAATAACCAAGTATATAAATTTTGTTAACAAAACATTAAATAACTAAACAAGTAGCTTAATAAAAATAGTGAAGAGTAGAATTATGAAAATGAAAAGGAAATAAACTAACTTCATTGCTCTTGCTTGGAGGTTCCGCCGTTTGGACCTCTCCAGAACAACACGGTAGTCCCCGAGGCTGCCCTGCCCGGCCTCGTGCGCGAAACGGCCATTAATGCCAGCCGAGCCGTCATGACTACGATTCCTAGTTTCCATAACTTTTTCCAGGTTTCTTCGTTCAAGTACATGAACTTTTAGTGTAAATATAGTAACCCTGGTAGTTTTATAAAAAATACCTAAACTTTTAAGTAATAATCTATTAAAGAAATTTATATACGAGTTAAATTTTATTTTACTTTCGTGATAACTATGTTACTATTTGTCACACTGATACATTTATTGAACTATTAGTTAATATACTGACTTATTTTCAAAATACATTTAGTTTTATTACTTAATAATTATAATATTAATATTATATATAAATATAGTGTACAAAAACTTTTGCCACGTCAGTTTTGTTTTTCTTTTCAACATTATAATTGCAGTTCTTATTAATGTATTAAATTATATATTTAGCAAAGAGATGTTCTTTTAACCGAAATCAAAGAAAAGCACAAAATGAGACAAACTTTTGAGGAGTTTACCAGCGTTATCATCAATCCAAAGTCGTAATAAAAACCTATATAATAAACTTTCATGCAAACTTTAAAGAACTCTCCAACAGGTAGTTATAATATGGGGGTGTAGCCTAATTATTATATCTATAATTAATAATTACATGACTGCCTTAAAAGAACCTGGAAATGTTGTTATAACAGTTGTTGTTTGAGCGTGTGCACAAAGCAAACTAATAGGCCTTTCTAGCTTTGTTTTAATTCTATGAGGATCTTTAAGTTGAGGAGCGTTAGAAATAAGTATATGTAAAAAATGAGAAACGGATAATTCTTTTGGGTTTAAGACATGATGCTACCAAAATCCACTACTCACTAGTACCCAAAAGCAAAAGCTCTTTTAAAGCTTAAATCCAGAGAACTTTTAAAGCTGAAAGAAATATCAAGTTTATTTAAAATTGAAGACTTTAACTAATCATTTTTGTCGCTTTTTTCTGTTACTATGAACACAGGTTTCTTAAAGCCCCCTCTTAATGCTGTTATGATATAACGATTTTCATAATAACTATCGGTAATACATTTATATAGTTAAATATAAAAAGAAAGCTGAAAAGTGATAATAGGAAGAATAAAACTTATAGACAAGTCTATTTATATGAGTATTTAAGTAATGACAAAGAGGGTGGACATCTTATTGTGCACGCTCACAGGTTCAATGCTACCAATTAGGAGAAAGAATGGCAAGACAATGACAGCGCGAAATAAGATTTTGGGCGCACATTGTTTTACAATACATTTTAAACCCCTTAGCCATAAAGAAAAATAGTTCTAAAATACTCTTAGGCTACTAAATAAGTCCTCTCTTCGCTCCCTCCCCTTCCTGAAACCTGGTTCTTTCGAAACCGAATTTCACTTTAACCTAGTATCATAACTTTATTCAAGCAGCAATCACGAAACACTTTCGTAGGTAATTTGATACGAGTTCGAATTGGAGGGAGGCACTAACAGTAGAGTGAGGATAAAGTAGGCTAACGTTTGGCTTTAGATAGCTACCGAACTAGGAGCACTTTAGTTTTAGAGACTATAATTTCGGTTTTAGGTTGTAGACTTACTGGCGGACATTACTTTGCAGGTACTCGCAGCTGAAAATCTTGAAATTTGGACAAGTGCTATTACAGCCCTTAGATTTAAAGCTCACTTTGGTGTGCTTAGTTAACCAAAGCGAGATGTATGCCGTAAGATAAGTGTTTAGCGCTATGATGAAATCAGGCAGACAAGAAATTTTACAAGTTGTTTGTAAAATAGAAGATCTTGAGTAATAGGTTCACCTTGTATTTGATATAGAGCGCCTATTGGCTTACAAAAGCGAGAAATTCACTACAGAAAATCAAAGTTAACAATTCGTCTTCTATGATGGTATCTAGCTGTTATTAATTCACATTTTATATAATTTCGAGTCGCTTAATAACTAACAGAAATTTAAGCAAGACATAACACTAAGCACAACGTACCGCCTATAAAAAATTATACAAATTTGTAAATTAAATTTTTTCTATTTATTAATAAAAATCCCAATGAGCTTTTTTAGTTGCTCCAAAGTTTTTATAAGCGTTAAAGAAGTAAAACAGCAATATCTGTAGAAGCAAGAGCAAAGCGAAGGGACCATAATAAAACAGTAAACTTGATAAATTCCACGAGTTTTCCGCTATGAAAAAAGCCAAATTTTGAAGTTCCTATCGAGTAAATATTTTTAACTAGCTTTCTTATTAACTTCCTTATAAGCTAAGATGCAATATAACTTTCCAACAATAAATGTATCCGTAAAATATAATTTTCAGAAGAGCTCTTTAAAAAGTTTTTATACATCCATTTGAGCGGACAACTGATGCAACTTCTTTTCTTGGTCTTCAATATTCTCCCTACACTGATTGGCTAGATTGTCAACCTCTTCCCAAACGCTGCTATCGGTGAATCCTACAGCATTACTAACTGTACTCACTATAGTAGATAGATTTGTTTATAGTAACGCCTGCCTGTTCTGTAACGAAGAATTGTTTTTTCAATATCATTGGTTAGTTCATTAAAACTTCCGTCAGCATCTTTCCCATCTCTACAAAATAATAATAACAATAATAGTAATAATAACCACAAAAATTTACAAATTGCGAAGAATATTTGCATGAGTTTTGGATAGCGATCGAAGTATAGATAACTGATTCTGAAAAACTTCATATAAACCGGAGTTTTCATCAGCAAAAGTCTAGTAATGAACACAAGAATTAATGTTGCAGCTTCTTGAAAGGGTACGACACTTTAGGTAACGTGCAATCTACATATTTTCAAAAACTTCACGTGATACAGATGATTGGTGAGCTCACCGCAATAACTGTAATAAGCCCAAACTGCCTAATAAACGCGAAAGAAGTCTAAAGGAACCCCCCCCCCCCCCAAAAAAAAAAAATAATAATAATGGAAGAAAAACTTTTATAGGTAAGCACAGCTATAACAAAACTCTATAAGTCCTCCAGCGTTGGCTAATCTTGCTAGTTCAAATTTTAATTGGTTATTTTACATCAAGTAATAACCAGAACAGAATTATTAGTTAACGAGCTGAAATCGAAAATAAAACCTGATAAATTTCACGTGTGTCTTCATGTTGTTTTAAAACTTTTTCATTCTGAAAATATATTTAATAAATTATAATGAATGTAAAAGTTTCTGATAAAAACAGTTCTTACATCGTTTTGGTCCTCCTTCCCACGAACGTCGAGGTTGAATGTTCTGAGAGCTAAAAGGTCGTGGTTATCTAAGCACACATTGTTAATGCACAAACAAAAAAAATATGCGCTTCTTATAATATTAAATTTATTTCTTCAAAAAAAAACATTTTTTGGTAAAGGGGAAATGGAAAAAGGGTTCTAATAAATTCTATAGAGCACCAAATAAGTCTCCTGTTGCTGCGGAGACGCCAAAGAACCCATTTTGAAGCAAATTGACTTCCTTTCAAGTAAAATGTACATTAAAAAAATACTATCTTCGTGCAGCCATAAAAAGCGAAAAATCTAAAGAGTCAACCAAAAATGTTAATCAACCACAAGCACAAATACCTTTTCGAAGCATAAGGCAAAACCTCCTGTGTGGGTTGGATCCACTTCAACCTTTAAGCAAAGAAATAGTGTAGATTTACTAAAGTTGTTTATGCTACCAAAATAATAAAAATGGTGAATGAAGACCCAAAAAAAAGTTTGAAAGAGACAATATTTGAACACAGCAAAGTAGTCACTTTTAAGTGCCCATCCTTATATGTTATTCTGAGCCTGAGCGGCTTCACTAAATTTCGTAAAGAGTAATCGCATCTCCCAAAGCTCTGCCGTAAGCCGTCATCGGCCTCGTGGTACTTTTTAGTACCGTCGTTAAGCACGCCAATAATATGCGATTCGTGCCCCTTTGTTAGATATACACATAAAAAAGAAGTTAAAAGTCTTCTTAGTTATAAATAAATACAAAGAGTAAAATATTTAATTCTTCTTTATTAGTAAGTTGAATCTTTTCTAGCGCAACCTACGTAGCCAAAGAAAACACAATTGTTGTGGCGGATCTTTCACATGCAAGAAAATTTAACCATTTCCTTATTACAGGAAGATTACAAATCAAAATAATTAGCAAAGGATTAAAAAAAAGCTCAAATTTATATTTATTAATAAAATTTACACTTATATACAGAGAAAGTGTAAGTCGCTTATTTGGTGTATATGCATGCAAATGCAAAGTTTAACTCTTTAAATTTTTGTTTAGCAGCACTCATTAGACAGCGTTTTGTAAAAAGTAACTAAGATTAGAGGTTCAAGTTTGGCTATTAACACCTCGATTATATCTAAATATTACTGGCTTTAAGAAAAATCCAAAAAGTGGCACGCCCCGATGACGAATAGAATATAATTTATCTCACAAAATTTTTTTGAGTTTAAATTATTATAAATAAAGCAGTAAAAAATAAACGCATCTCCCACTAAAGCTGTGTTCGTATAACAAAAAAAACCAAAAAAAAAAGTTTTTCATGTATACTGTATAAATAATTCTCACACTTCACTAAACAATGTGATGTGGTGACGCCTAGTAACGCTCTAAAAAGTAAACCCATTGGTCATTGTTATAGGTGTCCAGGACAACTGCTAGGCCTTTCCACTGATCCATACCACCATAAACTGGCCCTAACTATAAAAAATAAGATTACCTAATAAAGTTAGGTTAATAATTAAAAGAAGCGAATTATGTGTGGGTTTAAATTTAACTTAAGTGAATTACTTAAAGCGTAATAGATAAAAGAAAGTATAATAACTTATAAATGAAGATAATCTTATAGGAAGAAGTAAAGTAAATAATACTGAAGAGATGAATACTCTTAGTGAAAGTGTTACCTTCAGGGGGGCCTCCGTGTACCAGAATGCCATCCCATCAGCGCCAAGCGTTGCGTCTCCAGAAATTTGAAAATCCACTAAAACTTGCCACCGTTGAAAAGAGATCGGATATTTATTCCAAAGCTTAGGAAAAAATGTTATTATAAATAAGAACTATTAATCATTATAAAAGTATACCGCTCCTTTTTCATTTCGAGATGCACTAGTAAGTCGAAATAAATTGTCTTTAAGTTGAGCAGCTAAAAAAAAGAGTATGATAATAGTTAATTTATAAAATAAATAGATAGTATAAGTAACAACATAATATTGTTTACGCCTACTAAAAATATTTTATAACGACTTAGCCAAATGTACATATAACTATGGAAACCTGCCATGGTACTAAAAAACTATAAGTATGTATAATTCCATGAGAAAGAATTTACCAATATTTTAAAAATTTAACAATTTTTTCTATGAATATAAGTTATATAAAAAAGAGCTACCTCCATATAAACGCCAAAAACGGGAAGGACTTCCAAAAGAAAAAGGTTTCAAAGAATGCTTAAATTCATACTTGGAAAAGTCAACGTCTAAAATTCAAATATTAATCAGTTATTAATAGTTTTACAAAATAAAGAGAACTGGTACTGTGAGTTACACTTACATACTTTACATCTTTTCTTAAACTGCTATATATTTACTCACAAATTAAGGTTTATAATAGTATTATTGGGTTTTCATTGCTGTTCAACTATGATTTTAAATTGCTTACTTAAAAAAAAGTTATTTATTCCCAACTAATTTACATTTTGTTACTTCAAAACGTCACTAGATAGTATAAAAGACACAAAAACTATTAAAAAAACTGTTACTATAAATAAAAAGGTAAAAGACAATATTTCTTAACTTAGGTAGTCATAAACAGTACTAACAATTTTTAATAATAAAAAAATAAAGGTGCCAAGATATAATTTTTATTAATTCTTTGATGTTTATATTAAAAAGAGTGAACAAAGAAAAAAACCGGATATCTGGCCTTGCACTAGTAAGTCCCCGTAAAACAAAACAAAAACTGCCTTTAAAAACCAAAAAAACATTCGTCCGGAGGGCATGTGGGTAAGCAATTAGGAAGTCAAGTGCGATTGCACATTTATAACCAGATTTTGGAGCTTATTCTAGCCTCTTATGCAGTTATATGATAACTCAGTACTGCGGTAAACGTGCCCATCAAAATTTCAATTTTTATTTTAATTAACAAAAACAGTTACTGGAATAAGCAAACACATTGTAGGTCTAACTGTGGAAGTATTAAGTGTCCAATAAAAAAAACTCAAAGCTAAGTTTATAAAAGCGAGAGGTATATTGCTGTGTTATTGCATGAACGAGTTTATAACACTGAGCAGGAAAATTTTTTTTCTAATAGCTACTTTGTCAAAAAAATTTTCAAGATAGTTATATGATCCTGTATCATCTAAATATTTACTTCTATAACAAATAGCAATTCTATCACTATAAAGAAATATTAAAGCCGAGCTTTAAAACACCTTGTGTAATATCGGAGAAACTTTTCTGCATTGGTGCTGCTCAAAATAATAATCAGTTAAAATTATTTTGTTCGCTTCCTCCAATTTTTTATTGGTGTTACAGATACGTGTTGTAGAGAACGTAACTTGCCGTCGATGTTAAACCTGCCCAAGCAATGCTTTAGCTAATACTATTTATGAATGTATGTTAAACAATAGCATATAAAAAATGAAATCACAGGTAGTATAGTCAAACACTTTTTTTTTACTCAAATTTTTTTGTAGCTTATAAACTACAAATTTGTTATTGGTGTTTAAGAGTTTTGTGCATTCATAAAACGCATGCTACAACAATATTGTTACACCGTATGGTATATGGCTTCATATAATTTATCTTATTACACTTCTGTATGACTATATCTTCTGTTTCCTACTTATATGTTGCCATTAATAAGATATATACACAATTTTTTTTTTTAAATTGTAAAAAGTTCATGATGAATTTTAGAATGCTGATCTAATAAGTTGTACATACCACGCACCGCTCAAACGAACTAAGTTTTAGCCAGATGGAAATTTTAAAAAACTGTTATAGTCCTTCCCCCATAACTCAAATACTAATAATTTCCAATATTATCCAGTTGAATGCAAACTAAGCCGCCGGGCAAATACTGAGGGTTGTCAGTATTTTTTAATAGGTAGTGCTTACTACTTTATTAATTCATATCTACATACATATAAAGGTAAGCATTTTGCTGTTAAAAATATAAAATAAACGGTTTCTTCCACGTATGTATTGCCAGTCTCGATAGGATCATGACTGTCTACTGACTCGTTAAATATTGAGTTAAACTGTAAACCATCGTAACCCGCTTTAGCAATTTTTTTTATACAATGAAAACATGTATATTCTGCAAAATCTTCCAAACTTTCTGAACACTTAATAAAGTTAGTGGCATTCACCAAAGTGGGTATCACCACTATTAGTTCGCCTGGATTTCGAGCTAGTTTCAAAAACTTATATTTTTCACAATTAACTCTGTTATTCACTTGGAGAGAGTTACTGTAATTGTTTGCAGTAAAGTAACTTGTATGTATTTTCTTTAACCTTCTTGTAAGTTCAGAAAGGAAAAGACCTGCTGACATCAAGTAACCAGAACTTTCTTTTTCAAGTCTAAAAATATTTTGTTTTAGGCGTTTTATCCGATTATGGTTACTATTATTTTGGTGGTTTCCGTGATTATCAGTTCTATGGCAACTGCATTGCAACTTGTAATATTGCCTAATATCTATAGATCCATTAAATACGTTTATTTGTACATTCCTATCACTACCGCCTTTCTGCTCAAATCCTTTTTTGCAAACTTTGATCATGTCAGTTAGTGAAGCGCTGTAGAATAAAACCATCATACTATTTAACGATACTCTACTTTTTAACAATATTTTCAACGACTTATAACTCTCCTTTTCGGAAAAGAGCTGTAAAATTTTTTCTACTCTTCTTTTGGAAAAATTCATAACTTTATTATGCAAGTATATTTTTTTAGGGTAATCAAATTTCAAACTTATTGTTTTAGCATTTACACGTAGTGTATAAGTGGGGCATGACTTGATAATATATTTCATCATAAACTTTAATAATTTTTTTTTTATAACGTAAGAATTGTCAGGACTCCAAGACATTTTTACTAATTTAATAAAGATTTTAATATATTTTGATGATACTTTTTCTTTATATTTTTCAAAAAGAGGAAAATGACGATCAAAACTTACTACTAGTTTCTGGGTTAAAATATTATTTTTATGTTTGTATTCATTGCTACTACTTTCGTTGAATTTAAAGTTATAGTTGTGGTTATTATAATTGAAGTTTTTAGTGTTCACTGTTTTACTAGGCAGGTCACTAGTTAAACTTTTCTTTCTTATAAGTAGCCGTTTTAATGCTAGTTCTTTTATAATTTTACCTTCGCCACTGGATTCTGTAAGACGGAAGAGCTTAATAGCACTTGATTCCTGTTTAGCTTTAACCTGCTTTATTTTTAAGCTTTCCTTTTTCTTTAAGTTAAATCTGTCAAGTTTTAAATTTTCTGAAAATATATGTCCCAGAATATTAATTATATATAGACGCGAAGATATACTTGGTTGCAATACCTCTTAACTTCTTAAAGCCAGAGTTTGAATTCTTGTCTCGAACTAGTAATTTGCCGTTATATATCTAAAGAAAACGATTTTAAATATTTAAGATCTCTATCGTTGAACTCAGTATAATAAACCTGAAGGTTTGGAAATAACGTAGAAATGCTACATTTTTCTTGCTTCTTCATAAGTATCATGTCCCTAACGCTTTTTTCCGTCCAGTTTTTTCTTTTCTGTTTCCAGAATCCTCCTTCAGAGGTGTTACGCAGATCTAATACTATAAGATTTGGCGAGCTTTCTGCTAAATCCCTGTAAAAAGCTCCTCTCTCTTTCATTTTATTATTTCGAGCAATAAAAATTTTTAAACAGTAAAGCAGTGCCCAAGCTTTGTTCACGAAAACGGCCAAATCTAAATATTTATTATGAGATATATTAAATGATTCTAGAGCCATGTATTCTTTATCACATTGATGGCTACGAGAACTTGCTTTGGCCCTCTCAATAGAAAAAGCACTATTCAAAGTGTTATTACTTAACTTAAGAGATTTTAATTCTTTACAATACAAAAATGGGTTTAAACTATTTATATAATTATAACCAACAGATAAGTTCCGAATAGCTGAAGGGTAAAAACAAACTGGCTTATTATGATCTTTTCCTAAAAAATTTTTTTGAACTGAAACTTTTATCAGAAAAGGTAAATTTTCTGTTATGTTATTCCAACAATGTAAATTGTTTGCATCTAGGTTTAATTCCAATAAATTAGGAAATACGCTAGCAAATTTCTTCTTAGAAATTGAAAGGATATGGTTGTTCGATAAAGATAGTTTTTTTAAATTTTTAAAACTTAAGTTAGAATAAATACGATATTTCTCCTTTAAAAGTTGGTTACTAATATTTTCCTGGCGGGTAGTTGAAGAAAAAGAAGAAAATATATCTAAGCCTGTAGTAGAGTTTCCAGACGTATAATTACAGGGCTCTTCCTCAAAAAGAGTACATATGTTATTATAGTTAGCCATTAAGACTGTAAGTGAAATATTGTTGTGCAGTTGGACGAATACATCGTTACTGAGGTTGTTAGAGGAAATGTCTAAATACTTCAGGTATAGAAGGTATTTCAGGGCACAAACATTTGAAAGGTTTTGACCGGAAATGTTTAAAGTCGTGATGTTACGCAAAGACTCAAACTCAGTAAACAAGTTTACAAATATATTTAACGTAATGCTATCATTGCAACCACCATTAATATTTTTTGTTTCTGTACAATTGCTACCGTCAGCGAAGCTAGGCTCTTGACTCTTTTTGATTAAGGAGATTTGACCACTAGTCGAAGAAGGAACTGAAGACTGCGTAAATTAAGTTGAACGTTAGCTACCAGCAAGCATATAATATCAATATGAGACCTCAAACCTAATATTTTTTGAAAGTTTCCAAGTGTGCTCAAACACAGTTTCTAAATAGTCAGGGTATGCCTTGGGGATATTATTTCTACCTGTGTCATTAATAACAACTGAAAGGTATTCACTTGGCCTACTACTTATTGTTACACCTTCCCCTTGAGATTGTAAACTTTGGGAGACCAAAAATTTCTTTAAATTTACACTATTATTTTTAGTGTTTTCAGGAGTTTTTTTTAAATTGTCACCATCTTTTTTAAAAATAAACCTATCTTTTGAAAAAATTAAATTGCTATTATTTCTTTCGTTTGGATTAACAATGATTTCTTTTTTTAATAATTCTTTCAGTAGCTGGGTGTCATATAGAGCAGATCCTCTTTCAGCAACACTATTTTTCCAATGTTCAGCCCATTCTAAGAATTTAGAGAGTTTATAAGAAAAAATGGTGAGGTTATTAGTTTTTCTTTATTTTGCGGCTAAAAAAAGTTTATTGGACTTTTAAATACCATTAAGCAACATAGTGTGTATGAAAAAAGCTGATTATTCTATAAATTAAGTTAGGCTATGTAAACACAGAGTTTTTAAAATACTGTCACTAAGTTACTTTTGATTATTCAGAATAACTTACGTATGCTACTATTTGTTCAAGATTAAAGTTAAGCACGGAACCCATTGTACTTATATATACTTTTGAACTGTCCTCACCATTTTAATCCTACAGTAGTCGCAATCCTTATTTAGACATTAATAGTCGCGGTAGGTCTCTCAGACTCCTTGAGTTTTAAATTTTTTTTTTTTACTTCTATATTAAATAAAAAATACCGAAAATTTTTGAACACTTGTTGTTTATTGAGATTTTAGTATACAGGTCACACTAAACTTAACTTCTATCTAATTTGAAAATAGAAAACATAATTTTCAGCGTGAGACCCCTTGCGACTACTGTAGAGTTAATAGAATGGTCTTAACGTATTAAATATTACAAGGTTGTACCCAAAAACGGCTTTAAATGAGTACAAAATACCTATAAC